ATTGGCATTTTCTAGGTAAGCTCGAAGTACCACAATGTGACAATGCCAGTGGTACTAGTAACTGGGGCCAGTTCAAGAATGGGGTCACTTTTAAGTTCTTTGACCCCTCTCCCTTGCCCGATACCTAAACTTTCCTCTTTCTAATCACTCTGGGATGAAAGCGCTTTGAGGAGGCAGCTGCTGTGTTCCAGGAGACTCTAAGAGGTGGGTCCCAGCCTGATGCAGCTCGGGAGCTCCACTCTTGTCTTCTGCGGCTTACTACGGTAAGGGGGTGGCAAGAATTGGATTGCAATGCCAAGCAGTGTTACCTTTTGCCTCGGGGGCAGCAATGGGTGGGATGAGGGGTTGGGGCTGTGCTGCTAGAAAGGGGTATATCAGGTGCCCCTCCCTTTACATTCTCAGCAGGATCAGCGAGGAGGATACCGTGCACCACCTCTGCCAACTGGATTCCCCAAGTCAGCTCCCCACACTGAGCCTGGGGCCACAGGCCTCCTATCCCTCAGTTACCCTCGAAGCACTGCTCCAAGGGCCCCTGGCCTTCTGTCTCCACCTTTGCATTATCTGCCATGTCACCTGAGCCTCTCCAACGGGATCCTCCCCCAGACTCAGAGTAGAAGACCTCCTCTCCATTTTCAGGGACTCGGGCACCCAGGGACTCGGACCCCAGCATCTACCTCAAAGGGCTGGGGCACCCAGGGACTTGGGCCCCAGCGTCTACCTCAGGCCAGATGAAGGAGGACCTGTCCCTCATAGGACAAGGCCATGTGTGTATCCCACAGAGGTAAGGGACACTGTATGGTGGCTGTTTCCTGCATATTTAGGGACCTTGTACTCTAAAACCATAATTAGAAACATTCCTGGTAGTCATTCCTCTGGCCGCATAACTTCTCTCATAGGAAGTTATGAGAGAAAGGAGCCCCATATTCACGGAAACAGCCTTTTTCTTTGTTTTTCAAACAGATGGCTTCCTTAGCGTCCTCTGGGGGCAATAAGGAAAAGCAAAATCCAAGACTCAAAAAGGGCACTGGCCCTGCCTGAGTGGTTCAGTTGGTTGGAGCACCGTCCCATATACCAAAAAGTTTCAGGTTCAATCTCTGGTCAGGACACGTACCTCGGTTGTGTGTTTGATACCCAGTCGGGGTGCATACAGGAGGCAGCTGATCAATGATTCTCTTTCCCTCCCTCCCTCTCTCTCTAAAAACAAAACATCCTTGGGTGAGATTTTTTTTTAAAGGGAACTATACAAAAGTTCAGATTTTAAGGCTATAATAGACCCCACAGCGGGTGTTGGGGGCCCACTCTGCTCTTGGCCCTGGGGGACTCATTCACTAACCAGAGCTCTGTGCTCAGGAATCGGGTCATGGTGACAAATAAGGCTGAGTCCCACCCTTCACCTTGATGGTTGCTCACCTCTTCCTAATCCCAGTTCTTGCCCTGTTTTCTCTAGCCCAGCCCCTCATGCCTTCTTTCCCGCCCGTATTTCTGTGCACATTCGGACCTATCCTTTGCCCAGTGGTCTGATGCTTACCTCCTCCAACCGCTAGAAGATTCGCCAAGGGTTTGCATTTGGGAATTCCCTTACCAGCTCCTGCCTGGAGTTGGCAGGGCCCATGCGTTTCTACACTTCCCTGCTTCTGGCTCCCCTGCTGATGTGGCTTCAGCAGGCACCCAGGCTGCTGCCACCTTGGCTGTGCTCTTCCTCCACTCCAGCACTAGGCATCGTAACTTGTCTTTACTCAGTTTTTACTCTGTATTTGCTCAGTTTTTCCACCAAGGGTCACTGCCCCCAGAGATGGCTGTAATTTTCTATTTCCTGTGTAAGAATCATGAGTTTCTTTTGGTTTCTTGGGATCCTGGCAGCTGCCTCCGGCTGGTTTTTCCCTAGCCCTTCTTGGGACACAACTCACTTAAAAGCGAATCTTCAGGTGACTCTTAGGCCTCCCAAAGTGCCATTCCAAAAGGAACCCTTCATCAAGATAAATGATTTCTGCTGCCCTATGCGTCTTGCTCAACACCACTCACACCTGGAGGTAGGAGGCGTTGCAGCTATAGTAGGATGAAGTTTGCCATTACTAGTTGAGTCGCCTTGGGCAGGTCTGTCAACATTTGTGCCTCAGTTCTTTCATCTGTAAAATGGGTGCAATTCCTACCTCACAGGGCTGTTGTGAGGATGTACAGAGAAAGTGAGAAAATACCAAGTGCCTGGTATATAGTGACTGTTAAATAAACCAATTTTTATCTGCAACTGGCGTCCATATTCACAATTCCCACAGTGGGAGTAGTGGGGTATGAGTGAATTGCTGCTTATTTCACACAAGACAGAATTCCTGGGATGATGGTTCTCAAAATGTGGTCCCTGCACCAGAAGTATCACTGTCACCTGGGAACTTGTGACAAATGCAAATTCTTAGGCCCCACCCCAGACCTCCTACATTGAAACTTACAAGGTGGGGGTGGGGGGCAGCAGTGTGTTTCAATAGTCCTCCAGGTGGTCCTGATATACCCATCCAGAGGCCATTTTGACAGAATGAGTTTGAGTTTTGTTTGCCTAATGTTTGATCACAAGAAGTGGCAGTGCTGGGCTCGAATTTAGGAAGCCTCAAGTGAAAAGGGGTTACGGCTCAGAACCAATTATCTTGACTGGCTCCTACCTTCCTAAGTAGAATTATTTGCTCTGGAAGTTCTTTGCTTGTGCCTGGCTGGGGAGTGGGGCTGGGGAGAAGTGGTTGTTTGTTTAAGGGGTGATTCGATTACTGGCTCCACCAGAAGCCTGACTATCTGGCTTTGTTCTGGGGGAATTCTCTGCTTTGGGAACTTCACTAGGGCTCCTGGCCTCTCAAAGATTGCTTTCCACTACTACTGGGTGGGATCTTTACTTTCAAGCTAGGCTGACTCCTTGTTCTTTCAGCCTTTCAAAGAAATGTCCCCTCCCTATTCTGGACTTGAATCCCTCCAAAAGCCACAGGACTCCTGATACTTTGTCCCCACACTCACACTGCTAACTGGTAGGGTTTACCCAGAAACCTGAGTTCTGAGTCCCCAAATCTGGAAAGCAGAGTGAGCCATCCTGATCTTCCTGGGATTGAGGGGTTTCCTGGGGTATGTGACTTCCAGTACTAAAACTGGGAAGGAAAGTCCTGGGTAAGCTGGAATGAGTTGGTCACCCTAATCGAAAGGTTCCAGAGAGACCTTTAGAGGGGGACAAAGGAAATAAGCAAGGGGCCCTGGACATGAACCAGAGGAGGTATGCATGTGTTCTGTATGTGCATTGAAGGAGCAGCACGGACACCAAGAATGCTCATTGTATATAATTGCCGACAGATCCTTAGTTCTATGCTAGTAGTCACTGTCTGTTTCTGTCTATAATGCCAGTTTTCTTCCATTTGCCCAGGTTTGCAAGGTTGTCACTGACTCATGCAATTTTTGGTCGCTGGGGGAATCACACTGATTCCTTTTATTTGACAACCTCCCTCTCTCTCGCTCCAAGTCTGGCCCTGAATTCCCTCTGCTCTTACCTTTTGCAGTGTCCAGAAATACACTACTTCCTCAGTCTCCAGTCCACACTGCACATTAGCCTGCCCCAAACATTGCTCTCATTACTTCTCTAAAACCTCCAAAGACCAGACTCTCTACACTACAATGCCTGAATTTCTACACTTGGCCATTCTCCCCTCCTCTCTCTGCAATTTCTTTTCTTTCAGTCAGGCCCAGTCACAGTCATAGGGACAGCACCTGTCATGGCAAAAAGCATGAGCTTCTGAGTCAGACAAACAGGTGAGTCCCGACCCCACCACTTAGAAGCTTCATGACATGACCAAGTTTCCTTGGGCTTCTGTGATTGTCTTCTCATCCTTGAAATGAAAGCCTCGTTATCTTATGGGGTTATTGTGAAGATTAATTGGTGTAAGACACCTGGAACTGTTCAATAAGTGGTAGCTATTGTCTGAAAATGCCTGGTTCCTTCTGCCTTCCAGCCTTGTTCACCCTCCCTGAAATATCTTCTCCTGGGACCTCCACCTGCAACTCAGGCCCTAGCTCTGCACCCTCGAACCCTTGAAACTGGGACTGTGGCATCTGGGCAGATGCTTGGGAAGATCTGAGGAGGATGGAGGGACTGATCCGGAGAGACAGGAAGCAGGGAAGAGGCCTAAGCATAGTTTCCTGCTGATCAGTTGGGAAGGCCAGGCGTAGGGGAAGGCCTGTAGCTACCGAGTGTTCGCCTTCCCTCCCCATCATACTGCAGGAGGCTGGTTAATCTCCAGTGGAATAAATTAATCTCAGAATGTCTGGCAGCGGAGGTAGGCTGGGTTCTCCACCCCTCAAGGCAGCTACTCTAAGCTCCGCCTCTGCAGGCCTGGTCGGGCCATCCCACCCTCCCGACACTGCCACTGCCACCGTCCTAGTGGGAGCATTTTCTGCCTGATTGTGGACTGAAGGTCCTGAAAGTATGGGTGTCGTGCGCCCCCCCGCAAACGCGCACCACTTTGTGACTCAGTTTAGTGTTCTTTTGGCGAGGGCGGGGAGAAGTGTTGCTGGCTCCGTTAACAAATGACCTAAGGGCGGGGAAAGAGGAAAGAGTCGGGAGGCCGTTGTCAGTTTGAGGCCGGTCTAGAGGTTAAGAACAGTGTTTCTGAGGCTGTGGGGGATCAAAGGTGCTGTGGAGTCTTACGACCCAGGCTGCTAGTAGGGGAGGTTCACCGCAGGTACCAAAGGTCCATCCCCTTCCTCAGCCTCGAGTCTGCGGAGCTTTGAATGCTGGCTGGGCGCTTAGGACCAAATCCTGACCTGGGGGCTCTTCCTTTGCAAAATGGCCATAATTATATCACCTACTTTGTAGGGTTATTAAGAAGTTAAAAGAAACTGCTCCGTACAGTGCCAAGCACGGAATATCCGAAATAACCAGCGGATTTTGCTCTTACTGTTCTGGGAGTGGGATCGAGTCGTGGTTCGGTAGTCTCGACTTTATTCTCAACAACTAGGAAAGGTTGGCGTCTGGAACTGTGAGCTGGAATTGGCCAGGATCGACATCGCCCTCCACCCATAACCCGGACAGGGCGCGGAACGCAGAGGCGAGGAGGTAAAAAAGCCCAGGGCTCCAGAGCTGAGGCTGCGGCTTCGCCTTCAATCGTCCACCTGTATATCCTCGTCTGACAGGTGGGGCCCGGAGTCAGGCCGCGCGGGGCCCGGACCAAGGCCGAGGCAGGGGGCGCCCTCCTGCAGCGCCAGCGGGCCCTGCACTTTGGGGGACAGCGCGCGCAGCGAGGCCACATCGGCGCGCATCTCCTCCACGTCGCGCTTGAGCTTGGCACGCCGGTTCTGGAACCACGTGACCACCTGCGCGTTGGCCAGGCCGAGGCTGGCCGCCAGCCCCTCGCGCTCGGACGGCGCCAGGTACTTCTGGAATAGGAAGCGCCGCTCCAGCTCCAGCACCTGCTGCGCCGTGAAGGCCGTGCGTGACTTTCGCCGTCTGCGGCCAGCCGGGCCGGGGCCCAGAGCACCCGGGGCCGCTCGGCCTGCGGGGGGATAGGGCGGCCGTCAGTCAGTCTCCAGCCTGCAGAAATCGGGCTTCGGCGGGTAGGAAAAGCTGGGGATGGGGTCAGGCCGGGGTGGGGGTGAGGGGATGGAACTAGACCGTGGTCTCTTGGCGAACTGCGGGAGGGTCAGGCCCAAGAAGGGTGTGGGGACACAAAGTGGAACCAGCCACTGGGGAACGGGAGGCTGCAGGCTGAGGGCTTGCTACGAGGGGAGGAGGAGGAGGGCGCAAGGTCTGGCCTCCTGGGGCGGGGCCTTTGAAGCCTGCGGGAGCCCCCGATTGAGCCGGCTTGCAGGCTGGTGCCGACAACGGAGGTGGGGGCCAACCACGGTCGGAGCAGGGCAGCTGCCCGGGCATGGTGAGGGTAACAGGATCCAAATCGGGCCCTTCGTTAGACTCGTGGGTTGTGTCGGGCCCTCTCAGCATACTCTGGTTTAGTGACTCGCTCCCACCCTCCTCTAGCATGAAAGGCAGGTAGGTAGTGGGAGTACAAAGGGCAAGAAAAGGCAAAGTCCGGAGTCGTGGGGCCCTTGCCACTCCAAGGCCCTTCAAGTCTTTGCGCCCTCTCGAGAAGAGAGGGGGTTTGAAGTGGAGCGTGTTTACCGGGAGGGGTCCGAGCCCCGCCTTCCATCGCTTTCTGCTCTGCCCTTGCCCTAACTCACTTGTTTACAGCCTCGGCTCAGGCCTTTTGTCTCCTTCTCTCTGGCCTTTCTCTGTCGCGATTGCCCCGCCTACAGCGAAAGGACCCAAGGGTCCCTCAACTCTGAACAGCCCTGTGCTGCCCCTCAGCGCTGGCGGCCTCCAGGAGCAGCTGCCGAGCCTGGAACTAACGGACGGGGAGGAGCTGGAGGTACGAGTCCCGGCACGTGGGCAGCGGGCAGGGAGCAGGGCAGGGTAGGGTGGTGGCCAGGGCAACAGAGGTGGAGACCGGGAACTTGGAGGAGAGACATGGGGAGAAGGCCAAGTCACAGGGCGCGACCCGGCCGGCGCTGTACCTTCAGAGGGCTGCAGGGCGCGCCCGTCCAGTCCACGGAAAGCTTTACTAGTCAGCTTCTCCAGCGCGCACAGCGGCGACATAGGAGCTGCGCTCAACTCTGGAAGCGGCGACGCCGACTGTCCTCGGGGGACCCAGCGCGGGCCTAGGATGTCTGCGATGCTGAAGGGTGTCCGGGCTGCCTGGGGCTCAGGTTCCGAGCTCATGGCTGGCCAGGCTGTGACGGTTCTGCCGCCCGCTCCTCTTGGCTCCAAAGCTGCCTGAGCCCCAGCGGGCGGCTCCCGATCTGGGCCCCCGCCTCGGACCCGCCCCCCACGCTGGGCCTGAGCCCCGCGTGTCCCTCCTCCTGCGCCCCCGCTCCCCAACCCCGGGCCGTGGTGGATCCGCAGCAGCGATATTTGTACAGGCTAAGGAGGTGCTCAGAGAAGCCGGTGGAAGACCCCTCGGGGTCCGGCCACCTGGCTGCTCCGCGCTGCCCGAAGCGACCCGGGGTCACTCTGGCTGGACCCTTCCTGGGCGGCCCCCAGATGCTGTGTGCCGCAGACTCCCCGCCTAACCGCCGCTCTGGCTCATAAACTCGTCGGCAATAAAATTGCTTTCCCTGGCTGCGACTGTGCTAATATCCCCGATCTCACCCTAGGAAGGACCTCAGTCTCCTGACCTGGACCCTTCGTCCCCTCCCCATCTCTGCTGAAAACTCTTAAAGAAGTCCCGGCGGCTGGAAGTTATTAGTGCGGCGGGCGGGGTGGGGGGAGCTGGGGGGACTCAAGAGTTGGAAGGACTTGGTCAGGCTGAGCGACCGCAAGGGGGAATCGAGGGGATGCGCTGCGCAAGCACGCACGCACAGGTGAGTGGACTGCGGCCGGCTCTGCGGCTGGACCCAAGGCTGTCCCAGCGCGGCTCAGAAGCCCTGAGAAAGTCAGAACATCTGATGAGGCTGGAGACCTGGCGCTCAGGAGAGAGGACACAGCAAACCCAGAGCTAGTGCTACCGCCCAGGGGGAGTCTTTGCCAGTCAAGACTGGCCTCCACAGAGGGCCTTCTGGTTACACATCAGTCTATCAGTGTATATCTTTGTCTCCCTATTAAGCTCCCGTCGTCCCAGTAGGGGTTTCCTAGCCTGCGGAGGCCCAGAATCCGGCCAGCAGGAGCGGTGGTGGGAGGGGCCACTGCCGTATAGATGAGTGACTTGAAGGGCAGGCTTCATCCAGCCAACCTGATTCCAGGACAGAAACCCCTGCCAAGCCAAACTCCAAGGCCTGGGATATTCATTCCCATTGTACCTGCGTCCCGTGTGTCATTCTCTCTTCTCTCCCATAGCTAATCTAGTCTGGGGCTCACACGAGGGCGAGCACCTCCACAACCCTCGTTTATAGGAATAGGGCAGTTCTGGGATAGTGCCGCTGCACCAGAGAAGGCCCAACAAGGCAAGGCTTTTGTTCTGACGTCACACCAAGACAGCGAGTGGAGCCAGGGCCTGGAGACAGAGAGGCCCGCCACTCCGGGCAACTCACACTCGGAACTCTCTATGATGGGTTTCTTCTAGTTTTTTCAAACAGTGCCATAAAGAAGCCGACTGGTCACCCCAGGACTGTCCATTCTGTCACCTAGTCTCTGTAAACATCTGTGCCTCCCACCATTTGTGCAGTGATCTTCTGGGTCCACCTGTCTAGTCCCTGGAGCAAGTAGAGCCAGTATTTGGGGTGCCCCAAACAGAGCTTGGGAGATCTGAGGCACCTGGGCCAAAGAATCCTTGATGAGACAGGAAGACGCTTTGATCATGGTGGTAGGGAACTGCAGGTTGAGGCACTTACCTAGTCCACCCAACAAAGGTGGAGAAACACAGGGTCTTAGTAAAAGCTCCTTCCACTGACCATCCCATCCCCCATACACACAGACACTCGCAAAGCGCCCTTGCAACAGTCTGAGCAACTCAGCCCAATGGGTCAGAGAGCACAGTTAGGCCACAGCAGAAAGCCGAGATGCCTCAGGACTTTGTTAATTGGTTGTCAATGGTGGAGGGCAGAGCAGGGCCAGGAGAGATCCTCCTAGCTGAAGGCCTTAGCCCTTTGAACCACCCTGGTGGTTTCACTTAATCTGAAATTAAAGAGGGTCCCAGGAGGCTGCAGGAACTGGCTAGCTCAGGTCCCAGGCCTGTCACTAGACACTACCACTTTCACTCCTGCACCCTCTATGTGGCATTTGTCATCCCTTCTGCTCTCGATTACCAGTGTGTGTCTGTGGGGAGTGTGGGGATCTCCCGAGGGCCTTTGCTGTCTCTGCTGCCTACCTTCTTTGCCCTGCAAGTGGGCTCAGGTAATGGGGTTGCACAATGGGGTTCGGCAATCCCCACATGTGAGTTTGGGGGAGGAGAGGGTGAGAGAGACTAGTAATGGGAGGAGGCTGCTGACAGCAGAGCCCAACTGAGGTCTTCCCAGCAGCCAGCGATGTGTCCCGACGATTGTGGGGCCACAGGGGGGCACTTTTTCCCAGCGAAGCATCTGGAATCCGAGCTGGGGAGAAACCAGATCCTAGGAGTGGGTCATAGGAGGGTGAGTGATTAATGAGGAAGATTAAGAGATTAAGCCTGGGTTTGGGGCTTGCAGGGGAGCTCAGTTGTCTCAGACTACTCCCACCCCAGTTTGGGAGCCCAGCCCCAAGCCCTTGGGAGACAGGCTCTGGTGCTCCTTGCTGTGTGCCTCTTCCTCCCCCAACTGTGGTCCAGCCCTCCCTGCCTTGGGTCCTCACCAGAGCGACCCAGACAGAATCACTCACCACTGCCCTCCAGCGTTTTCCTCTCCCAGCATTCTCGAGCAGCAGTCCCTCGCGCCTCCCTCAGATTCCCCTCCTGGTTCTTTTCAGACACTTCAGGGGTCCTCTGCCCTCTCCCTTTGCAGAGAGCTCCACATTTGGATTTTCACTCCCTTGGGAAGGTGTCTCAATTCCCTTAAATTTTTAAAAAATTATTTATTTTTAGAGAGAAGGGAAGGGAGGAGACAAAAAGGGAGAGAAACATCGGTAGGTTGCTTCTCCCACACCCCCTGTTCGTATGTGCCCTGTCTGAGGATAGTGGATTGAACCCACAACTGAGACATGTGCCCGGATGGAGACCTCTTGCCTTTCAGTGCAACTGCCCAACCACCTGAGCCACACCAGTCAGGGCTCAGATCCCTTTTAATGATGCTTCCTCACACCTGCCCTCATCACCCCTTTGATTTCCCCTTCCTCATCACCCCCCCCCCTTTATCTCTCACTCCCTGACACCACACCTCTCACCTACTCTACCCTTTTCACCCTCTCATCTGGCAAGTTCCTCTACCCAGGCCCACTCCAGATACACCCCTCTTCTTTGGTATGGAGATCTGTTCAATGAACTGCTTTTACTCTTTGGATTTCTCACTCCAGTCATTGCCCTGAATTGTGTGTGTGTGTTTGGGGGGAGGGGGTACGTATGGGGATCCCCAGAATAACCCCTCTGGGGAGGTGCAGAGGATAGTCTCAGAGATGTGCTTGCCACTCCCTGCCCCCTGCCCCTCGAAGCCTTTAGCCTGCCTGCGAGCTAAGTGGGTGGGGGTTCAGGGAGGAAACTCCAAGCAGAGGAGCTTGGGCAGGGCATCCATCCATCTTGCACACTTCTGGGGTGGTTTTTTCTTTCAGCAAATGTTACTGCAGAGTGAACTGATTTAAACACTGAAATTTTAGATTCGATACTTCTAGGGACTCAAGTTTTTGAGTTCCTTCTGTTCTTTTACACTGTTTCACAAGCTCTGCGTAACCGCTGACAGCTGAGGGTGTGCTGCAGGCTGGGAGCGGGGAGCACAGAATACTCAGACACTTCCTGCCCCCACACAAACTTACATACAGCCTGAGACTCACTGTCACAGGGAAGTCCATTATCCTCACCCCTGCCTCCCCTCCCCCAAGTCCTGGGAGTGACTGGCTAGGCTGAGAGGGATGGTTTCCTTCAGTGCCAAAGGTGGGGTGGGGGGTGCAAATCTTGGTCCCTCCTCCCCCAGGCCAAAGCAGCTAGGTGAGAAAGGACAGCAGAGGCACCCACAGGGATGGCGAGGGTGGCGGGGGCCCTGCAGGCGAGGACTAACACCTACACCTGAAAGTACTTCAAGGTCAAAGGCCCTGGGGACAGGGCCAGTGCACGTGTGCTGTGTCACAGAGCCCAAGAGAACCCGAGGAGTTGATTCACCTGTCCTGGCGCAGGCAGAGAACTGAGTAACCCCAGGAGACGGGGTCTGCGTGGAGTAGCCAGGAACGGGGTTGATGAGCCCGAGCCCGTAGACCAGGGAGAGACAGAGAGACACAACACAGCCCGCAGCTGGCCTGCATCAGCAACCTGGGAAAATGCCCCACAGCTGCTGCCACCACAGTCGCTGACAGGCAAAAATGAGGTTCCATTAAGGTGGGATGAGGTGGGGCAACTGCTCCACCTCAGGTCCAGGCCTGAGTGCCTTTGGCTGCTCCTTGGCCACAAGCCATGTGTATGTCATCAGAGGCCTCATCTCTCGGCTTGGTGTTCAGGCCTAGGGGCCTCTGGCAGCCTTATATTCTAGCTGGACATTCTTGACCCAAGACAAACCCCAACCAGACTACTCCCCAATTCCTGCAGCTGTTTGGGCAAAGAAGAGCCCCCAGAGGTGTCTCTATTCTCTTTCCCCTTAGTTCACACCTCTCCTTTCCAAATCACTCTCCCAAAACCCCCTTTCACACATTAACTGCCTTGGGAAGAGCCTGAACGCAGAGTGCTCTGCTGCAGCTTAAATTTCAGAAGACGGTGGGGAACTCTGGGATAGACAGAATTAATCCAAAATCTTGAGATACAGGAGGTCTGTCTGGAAAGTGTCCAGCCATGTCATTTGAAAAATAGAGACATTTATTGAAGAAGATACAAGAAACATTGTACACAGGGCAATGACACCTCAGTACTCTTCAAAGTAGGCACCTTGGGACCTCACACAGTTCTCCCAATTACCATCAGCTACCCCATCATATGTTCCTGAATCTCATCAAGGATCTGAAATCTCTTCCCTTTCAAAAGTGATTTTAGTGTTGGGAAAAGGCAGGCCCCAGGGCACCAAATCTGGGCTATTGGAGGTTGAGTCACCTGGTGATTTGATATTTCACCAAAAAACTCTGCAGGAGATCTGATACATGAGTTGGCGCATTGTGGTGATGAAGCTGCCAATCACCAGTTACCCATAGCTGCAGCCTTCTGAATCATCAAACTTAATGCAAAACTTGAGGCAGATTTGTTGCTCTACTCCAGGGGTGTATAACCTTTTGGTGTCTCTGGGCCATACTGGAAGAAAAGTTGTCTTGGGCCAAATATTAAATACATTGTGACACGTAATCACAAAAGCATCTCAATGTCTTAAGTAAATTTATAATTTTGTGTTGGGCCACATTCATAGCCATCCTGAGCAGCTTGCTGCCCATGGGCTGCAGGTTGGACACCCCTGCTTTCTCAGTCATTCTGAATGCACCAGCCGCACAGTACACAGGCTCACTCAATGGCATCTACCACCCTCACTGACTAGTGAAGCTGTCACTGTTCATGCACGTGCTTTTCAGTCAACTCTCCTTGGCTGCCAGGTTACATCGATGTCATGCAAACCATTTTCATATTTAATAGTTGGGCTTTTTCTGGATAGACCTCATATGCTGGTGTAGAGACAGGCCCAAGGTCTGTGGAAGAAGCACTGATTGACTGAGGGAGTGTTTCCTGGAGGAGATGACACATAGGACAGCTGAGTGTGGAGGGGGTTAGGGGTGGGGAGGCATTCCGGGGCATGAGGCCTGAAACATGGGAAGTTTTCAGAATCTTGGAGATCAGACCTCAGCTAGGTGATTTAGGTTTTAAACTTGGGATATGGTAACATTTGTGCTGCCTGCTCCATCCCACTTGTCCCAGCGCATTTGTTAATTAGGCCTTCAGCCTCCCTGTTACTATCCCAGTCAGGCAAGTTTCTGGCTATCCCAGTAAGAGGCCTGGAGAACAGGGACACTGGCTGCGTTCATTTCCAGAGCCCAGTGCTGATGGCCAGACTCATGAGGACAAGGAATGTTTGCTGAATTATCTGTAGAGTGCCTTAGAGTTGCCTTTGCTCTCCTGGGCACCAGCTCACTCTCTATAGCCTGGCTTCCCCTAACCCAGCTACCTGAAGGCGCATTGAATCTTGTATACGCAGCCAGGTCTCCAACTCTATCCCTGTGTGTGCCCCATGCCCCTGTTTTTTTAGACTCCTCACAGTCCAAATCTTTAGGTTTTTCTTTAAAATATCACTCTTCAGTTCTGCAGTGGCCACTGTCCAACCCAAGCCCTACACTCACTACTCTTGAATCAGGAACCCTCTACTTAGGCCTGCATCACAGGTTGCAACATCCAAAGACAGTGAAAGCTCCCCTCCAGAAAAACTTCCCTTCACGAAAAACAGCTGGTGTGGGTGGCCTGGCCTCACTTAGTTCACTTTCTGAGTTTTACATGTATAGGGTCCTCTATCCCTCTTCTCTGGTCATTCACTGAGGGACATCCTTCTTGATGACACTCAGAGGATTTATGAGGGAAGCAAGACATAGGACAAAGCATGAGGGTGTGGTAGGAAAGAAGGAAGACAGGTGCTTTATTAAAGTTTTTATTTCAAAAAAATAAAGCCACAATTAATTTCACATAAATATCTGGGGAGGGAAGGGGGGAGGGATGGGATGGGGCTTGGCCCCTACCTCCTCTTCTCTTTCACACTGTATTGTAAAAGCAAAGGGGATGGCTGAGGGGAGAGCAAGAGGGAGAAGTAGTCAGTGGGAGAGTCCTTACCTGAAAGGCCCCCTCAGCCCACCCCTGCCCTGGTACTGCCTTGGACCTGGCTCACCTTGCCGAACCAGCGGGAGAGCCATATCTGCTTCATGGTCATGTGATCAGGGAGCACTTCATTGTCAAAAAGGAGCTGCACCTGGCAGGGAGATAGGAGCAGTTTTACAAACTGTCCTCTTACACCATCAATAACTAATCTGGTCCATTCTAACCTCTCTCCCTCCCTTTGTGGCCCCTCCCCCTCCCAAAAGAACCTACTGTGGGAATACTCACATGCTGGGGATTTAGCATCAACTGATGGCATAGGACCCTCCGGAGATGGCGAACCTCAGCTCTAACAGAACATCGGACATATTTATTCTGGGGGTGGGGAGAGTAAGGAAGAAGACAAGGTGTGTGAGAGAAGGGCCCTGGGGAAGTGAATTTCCTTAGAGAGGCCCTCCCTTAGCCCCTCTCACCTGCAGAACGCTTTTATTCTTGTCTTTGCCAGAACTGGGGGGAAACAGACATAGGTCAGAGAGCCCTATCTTTCCTTTATGCCCATGCAGAGCTGTGATAGACTCTCTTCAAGGGAACAGACACTCCCTTACTAGGAACCCTCTCCCTGAGCCCCTCCCTGGCCCTGTGTCATTGACAGTGTCACTTCAGACAGCCCAGGACCTGCCCCTCACCTCAGCCGCTCCAGGCATAGGCTCAGCTGCTCATCGTAGCGATAGTAGTGGGCTTTAGAGTGGTCGAAGCTACTGAAGGGGAGGCCGAGGTTGCTCAGGGCTGGCTCTGAGAAAGATAGAGTAGCAGTACAGGTTCCACAGTCCTCTTTCCCCAGAGAGCAAAACTGGGCAGGAAGAATGTTCTGGGGGCTTTACCTTACCCTCCTGCTGTCATGCGACATACCTTCCCCGCTGGGCTGGGTGACTCGGTCCAAGCCTCGAGACTGGTAGAATTCTCGAATCCGTTTCTCTTCACCTAGAAGGCAGTGGAGTATGGGCAGTAAAGTATTAGCTCTCCTTCACTCTGTCCTTCTGGCTGTCAACCTCTTTATTTTAAAAGATATTTATTTATTTATTTATTTTTAGAGATAGGAGAAGGGAGAGAGAAAGAGAGGGAGAGAAACACTGATTGGTTGCTTCTTGTACCCACCACAACTGGAGACTGCCTGAAACCCAGGCATGTGCCCTGACCCAAGGGACAAACTGGCAACCTTTTCTTTTGCAGGTGGATGCCCAACCAACTGAGCCACAGTAGTCAGAGCAACCTCTTTACCTACATGAGTCCCACAAAGCCCTTGTCACCTCAAGCTGCTACCCAGCATCAGTCCTCTAGAAGCCCCTCAGAGTCAGGTTGGTCACTCACTATCTTGCAAGCCAGGCACTAGCTTGTACACGATGTCCTGCATGACCCGGTCCAGTTTGAGGTTAAGCAGTGGCTGTGTCTCGTGGATCTTAATGTTGCACATGGGGCAGTACTTGCTGGTTTGGAGGTACTTCACAATACAACTCTTGCAGACTGCAGGAAAAGAAAAGCAGACTCTCAGGCCCTCTGGGAATCAGGTTCATGGACTGGAGGAGGTGCCTGGGTGGTTGGGACAGGTAAGTACAGAGGCTGACAGCCAGCTTGGTGGGAACTAGGGCCTGGAAGAACCAGTCAGGGTCCAGAAAACTTACAAGTATGAAGACACTCTGTGATGGTGGTGGCATCCACAAAGTAGCCGGCGCAGAGGCAGCAGACGATGTGCTCATTCAGGTCTTTGATCTTTACTCGGACCTCCTCCTGCAGGAACAACCTCTGTCACGGATCACCCTTCCCAGCCCCAACCCTTGCGCCTTCCCCGCGGCCAAGCCCCGCACCTTGCGCGGTCAGCAGGGGATTAGCTCCCCAGGGCTGACACTACCCCTCTGCTCAGGAGAGGGCTCTGCGCACAGCGGGGACTCCCTTCACGTGGATTCGCCCGACCTTCCTTTCCTAGGGGAGAGTACAAGACGTGGGCGGCACAGTACGCAGGCGTCCTAGCCCGGAGTTTGGCAACTAGACCGCAATCGCGCAGGCGCACTGGAACCCCTGTCCCTGCGCAGGCGCATTGGGCGCCCGGCCAGCCAAGGCCTGTCCTCTAGTCGGCCCCAGTTCGCAACGCTAACCGACCACAGAAGTAACCCTGCCGCCCCTGCACCTCGTTCCGTAGCGGGTCCATCTTGTACACTGACTGGAGCTGGTTCCGAAGCCTCATCGCGATCGCAATCTGGCCCCCCTGAGGAGACGCCATCTTAAAGGCTGATCCCGGCCTGCCACTTCCGGTGCCGCCTGCAGGGCGGGACTTGTCACCCAGCAACGAGGGCTTAGGCCTTTTTGGATTTGCTGACTCTCTGTAAGTCCCCGCCCATGTCCTTTCTCCCCGTGTGCTCACCTGAGCCCCAGTGGCCCCACCCCCTCTTTCCCCGGTAATTAGGAAGGGGGGCGGCGTGGGGAGGATCCCTTTTTCCTTGACCTTTTGTAGTAATCATCATAATAGACTCTACCGGACCTCGGACCTCGGGACTAACTTTTGGAGCCAGCAAGAGACTCCCCTCCTACCCGAAAAGGCCCGATGGTCTCCACCCGCCTCCGCTCAGGGTCGTCCAGCTCCTGTGACAACCACCCGGCTAATACCCCTCCCGGTCCCTCTCTTGGGAGTGTCGCCCTCTTCTGCTGACGCCTTGACGTTAAGGAGCTTCATCCCGATGGAGGGCCTTCCCCCAACTCCCGAGCGGGAGTTTTCCCGGGCTTTGCGGAGTCTCGGAGAGGATGTCGGGGAGGAGGGAACCCTAGAGACTTGGTAGTAATCTTACATTACCCCCACCCCCATCCTTCCCCTGCCGCCGGGGACGGGGTGGGGGCAGGCCCTCGTTAATGATGATGATTCAATCATAGGCGCCTGCGGAGGCCTGGGACAGACTAATGCAGAGCAGATGCCCAAGGAGGAGGGGAGGACGACTAGGACACTACCGCACACACACACACAAGCTGAGACAGCGATCCCCTGCAGTAAGCTCAGCCCAGTATTTGGGGAAAACTTAGGGGGCCCCGGAAGCTTGTACACCGCTGTCCCCAGGAACTTACAGTGGGATTAAAAAACAAGGATAAATTTCTATGAAGTTTTTTAACACCGAATGCATTTGGAGGTTGAAGAAGGGAGAAAGCCTTTTGGGGTCCCAGTGGAGATCCCAAAAGGCTTTCTGAAGGAAGTAAGACTTCGTGTGGGGACAATTTAGAGTTGGGGACGGGGGCGGGGCGGGAAGAAGTGTGGTGGAAACAGAAAAGGAAGGCTGAGTGGAGGGGAGTGATTGGAGAGGGCTAGGAAGCAGGCCAACTTGTGCATTTGAGAGTAGTGGTGGAAGAAGCAGGGACTTACAGAGAAGACTTTTAGCTTGTGGGCCGTAGGGCGCTAGCCGACCCTTGGAGAGGGTTACCCAATGAAAGAAACACTTTTGTTCTTTTATCTTCAGAGTGAATTGGAGTGGATGAGCAGCAAGAGGTTGTGGCAGTAGTGATTTTTTAATACTACTTCTCACTATAGCCACTGCTTACATCCCTGGTCCAAGATGCCATCATCTATCCTCTGGATGAGCAGTGGTATTTTGCCTGCTTTTCTTGCTTCCACTGTTGTCCCCTCTTTAGTCAATTCTCAACAGTGCAGCTCAGAGTAATTCTGATAAAATATGAATAAAAACAGATACAAGGATACTTACCTGGCAGAGATACCATGATCACCAAGGTGGTTTTCCTAGGGTAAGGCTTAAACATTGTACTTCGTGTGCGCTGACCCCTGTGATTTCGCCAAATGTGGGAAAATTGACTGCATAATTTATGGTAGTGGGGGACTGCTTCACCCTCTCCCAGAAAAAAAAAGGAGGGAGGGAGGGGGAGGATACAAGGAAAGTTTCTTTGAGTTGATGAATGTTTATTATCTTGATTGTGTTGATTGTTTATCTATGTCAAAACTTATTAAATTGTATACTTCAAATATGTGCAGTTTTATTGTATGTCAGGTTTACCTTTAAAAACTGTTAAAAATAAAATAAAAAAATCGGGTGTCTTTTTTGTTTATAATCTTCCAATAGTTTCCTTTTTAAAATAGGAATAAAAGGCAAAATCCTTATAATGGTCTATAAAGCTTTGCACGGTTTCTCAGTGATCCAATTTCTGTAGCCACACTGGACCCCTCACTGTCTGCTCCACAGATGCACCAGGGTGTCCTCCCACTGGGTCTCCAACTCCAAACGCTCAGATGTCCAAATGGCTCCTTTGTCCCTTCCGGTCTGTACTCCACAAGGCCTTCTGTGATCACTCTAGATAAATCACAGCTGCCCACCTTTCCACTTCTCCCCCTTCCTTGCTTTATTTTTCTTCTTAATATTTATTATTATTTAATATATTGTGTATTTTTCTTGTTTTACACCTGCCTTCTCCACAAAAATGTAAGTTTCTCAGTGGCAGGGACTTTTTTTTCCCTGTTGTGTCTATAGGGCTGTATTTCCAGTGCCAGGTACAGAGTAAAGGTATTCAGTCAAAATTTTCTGGATGAACGGATGAATGAAAGTAGGCGGTAGTGATGCTGGCCTAGATTAGGCTTTTATCAGTAGAAATGGTAAGGAAGAGCTGTATATGAAATATTTCAAAGAAAAGCACAATAGGAGGAAGTAAGTAAGGAGCTTGGGAGGGGAGCCTGTCTTCCAGCCTGCTGAACTTGAGGTGGCTGCCGCAAAGGCAGGTGGAGTTGGTTAGAAGGCTATGACGGTGGGCTACAACACAAGTGTCAGAAACAGGGATGGAGGTCTTCGAGTTTATTGGGTGGATGTCATAGATAAAACTACTGAAATAGATGAAACCTGAGCAGATGTAGGGAGAGAGGAAGCTGAAGTCTGAGATCTGAAGAATGCTCAGAGTCTACAGTGGAAGAAGGAAAGTCAGTGGAGGGAAGAACATAAGCATTCACCATGCAAGTCCAAAGATGTAGGAGACAACACATGGAAGCCAAAATAAGGGACATGTCAACAAAGAGTTGCTGATCAACAAGGTAAAGCATGTCAGAGATTCCCGAGTAATGGACACTGGACACTGAAACTCTCTGAGCAAGAGTCTGTGCGGTGAAGGTGGCTTGCTGTGGGGTAAAAGAATAAATAATGAGAAAATGGAGGCAGTGGGTATGAGCACTAAAAGGGAAAATAAAACAGTTTTTTATGAAGAGTCAGGCAAAGACTTTGCCTAGATAATAGTGACCCAGCACAGTTGGGGGTAGGAAGGACTGAGTTCATGAGAGAAATGATGGCACAGGGGTGGGGATGATCTCAAGGGAAGAACACAATACCAGTAACAGAAAGGAGGGGAAGGTGCAGGAGCACGGGCTGGGGACGTGGCCTCTTGTGAAGCCGCAGGCTTGAAATCTGAAAACTTGAAGAGTTGGGGGCCACGTGCATGTGGAGATGGTGAGATAGATCCAAAGCAGTGGGTATGGGAGGTGAGGGGGTGCTGACCCCAGAGCCTCCATCTTCAACATAAACCAGCAGGAACCCTCCTTTCCAGGGAATTGGCAAGGTGAAGGCAAGCAGAGAAACTCCTAGGGCTGTGGCTGACAGAAATGAAAGCCCTTTGTTCTTAAAGTGGGACACTGAAATATTTTTTAAAATTCCCCAAGAGATTGGTATGTACTTCTGGACATTTTCCTCAAAGGATCAGTTAGGCGCCTCTGGGTGGCAGTGCCATCTGTGCTGGCCTCAAAAGGCAGGGTGTACAGTAAGTGGGTATGCAGGTCTATACCCTGCTGCCTTTTCTCTCCTTCATTGATTCACTCACATTCATCCCAGGATTTATTTATTCGACTTGGTTGGAGGTACACTAGTGCCTACTCTCTCCTCAGAGGCCCACCTCCTAGAGTGGGGAAAGGGACGGACAAACTCCTGACCTGCAGGCCAGTCCCCTGAAGAAGCTTTTTCACTTTTCTGTCTCCCTAGCATTTCTGTTTACATCTGGGGGGATCCAGCCTAGCTATCTCTGAAGGTTTTGCCTGAATAGCAGGTTTCATGCCCCTCTAACAGCCCCATTCCTCTATTGCTGAGAAAGGGTGCTTGGGCTTCTTCGAGGGCTAAGGAAGGTGATGATGTCTGTCTTCTCCACCAAGATAAAAACACCTGCCAAATTTGCAGAAGCTCCCCACCCTCGTCTCAGAAGGGGCTGTTGCCTTAACCAGGTGTGGCTCAGTTGGTCGGGTGTTGTTTCACAAAGTGAAAGACCACCTGCAAAATGAAAGGTCACCAGTTCATGCCTGGGCTTCAGGTTTGGTCCCCAAATGGAGTGCAGGGCCAGTAGGAGAGGCAACTGATCCATGTTTTTCTCCCACATGGATGTTTCCCTCCCTTCCCCTCTCTCTAAAAATAAATAAAATCTTTTAAAAAGAGAGAGAGGAAGAGAAGGGGATGCTGACAGGTTGAGAAATTAGACGATGGGTGTGGACAAGCTTGGGGAAGGATGTCACATGTTAATGTCCATTGCCTCCCTCTCCCAGACGTAAGACAGAGGCTGCTGAGGACACTGAGGGGCTAGTGGCTTTGGGTGGGGAGAGAGCCCACTGTCTTTTCTTTATCTTCCTGTCCAGATGCCCAAATATCATCCCTCCCTTCCCTGGAGAGAAAAGACCCCTCACCCTGCCCCAGGCACCAGGCTGCCAGCCCATCTGCTGGGGAGAAAGAAGGGGCAGGGCCTTTCCCAGAAGACCCTGGAGAGGCAACTGGAAGATTCCTGCTCCCAGGGAGACCCATCTACTAGACTTAGAAGGCATGTTGGCTCCCACGGGGTGACAAGCAGCCTGGAACTGAGCACGGAGTGGGCTGGAGTCGAGGGCCTAGGGTTGGCACAGTGGGGTGGGGCCCTTTGGCCACCACGTGTCCGAGGCAGGCCAAGTTGCTTATTGGTGCCAAACCGCCGTGGCATGATGGGAACACCCCCTCCCTGCGCCCAGTCTCACCGGCTTGGAGGCGCCAGGGCCCCCCCGGGGCCGGGGCAGGCCGGGGAAGGTAATGTAATTCCGACCCAGCTAACCCGATTATGGCGGCCTGCACCGGGCCGGGCGGCGGCGGGGGCGGGTCTAAGGCGAAGGGGCCCGCCCGGCCAGGGGTCCCGTCCCCGGGAAGGACGCTGAGTTCACACACTCCCACCTCCTGGGTCCTCCACCAGAGGTCATAAGGTCACCAAGCTGCCTCGGCCTCTCCCCACCTCCCTTCTCCCACACGCTCCAGGCACAGTTTCCTGCGGTTGGGTGGGGTGAAGCGTCTGTGGGAAACGAGGCGGCTGGGATCCTCCGAAGGCTTCCCAGAGGTACCACGTGTCTCCTGTGGCGATTTGGTCCTCCCGCCTTTGGTGGTGGTAGTGGTGGGGATGGGAGGGGGAGCGTGTGAGACCAGGCCTCCTAGGCGCGGAGTGGAGGCGCAGAGTCCCTTGTTGGCGGCCTCCGGCCGGGGGCAGAACGGCAGCCCCGACCTCACACCGGCCTGTGTTGGCCGGAGTTGAGCCAAGGGTCCGCGTTACGCCGATTTGAGAAAATCGAAATTCTGAGAAACAGGGCACCGATTCCTGGCGCTCCCGAAAGGAGCTAGGGGTCCTGCGGAAGAGGCCAGGAGGCCCTGGCCGGGAGTGGTGGTTCCGCGCCCTAGCCCACCAGACGCGCCCTGCCGCCGCTTCCCGCACCTGTCCTCTTCCTGGGCCTTCAAGTCGCCAGCGCCGTTCCCCGGCAGCTTCCCATCGCATCCAAGAAGCCACAACGAGATCTGGTCTTCGAGGGCACTTAGGCGGGGGGCACAACGAATCCGGGAGTCCGCAGGCAGGACCCATCGGGAGGCAAAAAAATGGGGGGATGTGGGAAGAGGTACCTGCGAGGAAGCCCTAAGGCGGAGGCCGGCGAGGATGGAGTAGCCCTGAGCATCTCGGCTGACTCAGCGCGGAGCCTCCCGTGCTCTGGCCCCTCCCGGGCTGGGCCAGGTTCCTAGCACCCTCGCCACCTCTTTACCCCACCCCCGCCGTCCCTGCCTCCCAGTCTTCCCCTCGCTTGGCGCACATAGGCGTCTCTTCCCCTTTAATGGGCCGGGCCCCGCCCCTGCACTCCCCCCAGCCCCCACTGCCCACTCGAGGCAGATCTGTCAGTCACTGCCCCAGCCAGAGCCTGCCAACCCTCTCCACCCCGGACTCGGGCAGAGGCCCCGCCAGCCCAGCGTCCATCTGCGCTTCAGAGACAGAAGGGCGCTCCCGGGACGCTGGTTGGTCGCGCTCCCTCGGGATGCGAGTTCCTGCACCGACGCCCAGCAGAGCCCGACATGGGCGCGGCTACTCCCCGTGCCCTGGGATGAGGCTGTCTTGGGGGGCCCGGCGCCCCGCCGCGGCCGGCTCCGCGGGCCCCTGAGGCCGCCGCCCTGTGCGCTCCGCTGCTGCGCTCCCAGAGCTGCCTGGGGCGCCCTCCACAACCGCCGAACCTGCTGAGGTCTTCCCTGACTTGGACCCATGGAACCCGCGGTGCTGGCCTCGCACAACCTCCCGCATCACGAACCAATCAGCTTCGGCATTGATCAGATCCTGAGCTGCCCGGAGCCCCCGGGGAGCGGTCTAGGCCCGGGTCGCACGGGCCAGGGCCACGGGGAGAGCGCGGCGTTCTCAGGTGGATTTCATGGAGCCTCAAGCTACGGCCCCTCAGGCTCCCTGGGCCCGCTACCCGGCAGCTCCGGCGTGATCCGCGTCCCAGCGCACCGCCCGCTGCCCGTGCAGCCGCCCGCGGGAGGCGCGCCTGCGATGCCGGGCCCCTCGGGCTTGGGCGGCGCCGGGGGCCTAGCGGGACTCACCTTCCCGTGGATGGACAGCGGACGCCGCTTTGCCAAGGACCGTCTCACCGGTGAGGTTGCCCAACCCCTCTGTCGTCTTGCCACTCACTCGCCGGGTTTCCTCATCTTTGATCCTTCGGATCCAAATCCAGGTCCCCTTTCATACTCCTCCCCCAGATCATTTCAGGGGATCCCCTCCCATCTTGTATCTCTTGGTCCCACTGCTGAGAGGCGACGGGAAGGGAGCTGCCGTCGATGCCCGCGCTCTTCTCTGCAGTCCACTGTCCACACCACGGGGAGAGCAGGGTGAAGTTATGGGGCCAATTCTCTGTCATCCGAGGGGGAGGGCCATTTCTTCCGAGCCCTCTCGTTGCTTGGTCTAGAGGCCTCTGCTGTTGCGGGGCTGCGCTGGGGGCGCCGGCGAGGACCGGGCGCGGGAGCTCTGCGGCCTGGGCAGCCGCACTCTCCTCTCAGGGGCACCTCGAGCCGCCCCGCAAACCCTGCCCCGCTCTGTCTTCCTCCCCGCAGCCGCGCTCTCCCCCTTCTCCGGGACGCGCCGCATCGGCCACCCTTACCAAAACCGGACCCCGCCGAAGAGGAAGAAGCCGCGCACGTCCTTCTCGCGTTCGCAGGTGCTAGAGCTGGAGCGGCGCTTCCTGCGCCAGAAGTACCTGGCCTCGGCGGAGAGGGCGGCGCTGGCCAAAGCCCTGCGCATGACCGACGCTCAGGTCAAGACGTGGTTCCAGAACCGGCGCACCAAGTGGCGGTGAGGCGCGGGGCGGGAGGGACCGCGGGCCGGCCAAGCGGCTGTGAGGCGTGGGGCGGGCGAGGGCCGGACCCGGGCCGGCCTCGCTGACTCCCCATCTCCGCCCGTCCAGGCGCCAGACGGCGGAGGAGCGCGAGGCGGAGCGGCACCGCGCGGGCCGACTGCTCCTGCACCTGCAGCAGGACGCGCTACCGCGGCCGCTGCGGCCGCCGCTGCCTCCGGACCCGCTGTGCCTGCACAACTCGTCACTCTTCGCGCTGCAGAACCTGCAGCCCTGGGCCGAGGACAACAAAGTGGCTTCGGTGTCCGGGCTCGCTTCGGTGGTGTGAGATGCGCCTGTCTGGCTGGCGGAGCGCTCTTCCGTCTCGAAGCGCTGCCTGGAGCGCGGCGGCCAGGGCGGAGGGGCGTGCGCCTACCCTTTCCGCGGCCGTAGCAGCGCCACGCAGGAGTAGCAGCCCGCCTTGAGGCTCTCGGCCGCCACGGGCTTTCGGGGCAGCGTGGCACACTTGCCCCGCACGCGGCCTTTCCCACAGGCGTTTTCCACTCCTACCGTCTTACGGCTGTTGGGACCTGAGGCGCCGAGAGGCCTGGACCTGCCAATGAGGTGCGGGGAGGGGGCGCTGGCTGGTGCTTTCCCGAGGGACTCCGGATTCTGCCGCTGGTGGGTGGGAACTGCGGTGCGGAGCCAGGACAGGTAAAAGGTGGTGCTGCGATGGGGGCAGCCCTCACTGGCTGAGTCGGTACCAAAGGTGTGATGGAAGGAAGACGCGAACGACAGTGGAGTAATGTAAGAGGTGCTGGAGAACAAGTCTGACTGTGACGGGAACCAGGTGTTAGCCACGTTGGGCATCTCATCCTTCTGTAAAATAATCGCTAAGGATTCCTTCCTTACTCTGAGCCTCGTGTGGTTCGTGCGTGTTTAAACTCCTGACTAGGCCTCCCACTGGAGCCTCACAACGCGCCGGGGCGGCTGGGGAGACGGACGCTTCTCTTCCATCTTTCACTTGATGAAAGAGAAAATCTAGGAGCACTCATCCCGCTGAGACAGGAGAGAGGAGGAAGGAGTGGTGGTCGAGGTTAATGGGCCCGGTGGAGTTGGGTGAGCAGAACTTGGAAAATAATTAGGAAAATAATCTGATAGACCTAAAAAGAATCAAAGATAATTTCAGGGTTGGAAATGCAGGGAATCAGGAAAACAGTGGTATTCTGGACGATGAAGGGGAAACTGGGAAGATAGGAGCAAGACGAACTCTGCAGGCAAAACTAAATGCTAAACCCAGAGAGACTAAGTTCTGGCGAAGTGCCTTTGGGGGAAGTATGCTGACATCCACATGGAGGTGGAGATAGATTGAATGATGGGGACAGAAACTCCAAAGAAGGAAACTCTGAAGAGAAAGCAGAGTTCTTTCTCTGGATGAAATATGTTTTTCCACCAAATTCTACAAGCACTTTTACCATGTGCAAGACGATGGAGTGTTGATATCAAAGTTAGTGGTCCATGGGGAGAAAAGGAAAAGGAAAAGCTGCAAAGAAAGGAAAGCATGGTGTCCATGCAGTATTTATTTATTTATATTTTATCAATTATGCCATTGCAGTTGTCCTGACTTTTTCCCATCTGCCCCCCTTCACCCAGCACACCCCACTCCCTCAGGCAGTCCCCCCACTATTGTTCATATCCAGGGTCATGCGTATAAATTCTTTGGCTGCTCCAGTTCCTACACTGTACTTTACATCCCCATGACTGTTCTGTAACTATCTATTTGTACTTCTTAATCCCCTCACCTCTTCACCCATTTCCTTACACACCCCTCCCATCTGGCAACCATCAAAATGCCCCCTATCCATGATTCTGTCTCTTTTCTTCTTATTTGCTTAGTTTGTTTTTTTAGATTCAATTGTTGATAGATTTGTATTTTTGCCATTTTATTGTTCATAATTTTGATCTTCTTTTTCTTAAATAAGTTCCTTTAACATTTCATATAATAATGGTTTGGGAACTCCTTTAGGTTTTTCTTGTTTGAAAGAAAATAATGGATGAACTCCTTTAGTTTTTTCTTGTTTGGGAAGCTCTTTATCTGCTCTTTGATTCTAAATGACATCTTTACTGGGTAGAGCAATCTTGGCTGTCAGTCCTTGCTTTTCATGACTTTGAATATTTATTGCTAATCCCTTCTAGCCTGCAACATTTCTTTTGAGAAATTAGTTGACAGTCTTATGGCAACTTCCCTGTAGATAACTAACTTCTTTACCCTTGCTGCTTATAAGATCGATTCTCTCTTTATCTTTAACCTTTGGCATTTTAATTATGATGTGACTTAGAGTGGGCCTCTTTGTATCCATCTTGTGTGGCACTCTGTGCTTCCTGGACTTGCACGTCTATTTCCTTCACCAAATCAGGGAAGTTTTCTTTCACTTTTTTTTCCAAATAGATTTCCAGTTTCTTGCTCTTTCTCTTCGCCTTCTGGCACCCCTGTGATGAGAATGTTGGACCTCTTGAAGTTGTCCCAGAGGCTGCTTTTACACTATCTTCATTTTGGGGGGATTATCTTTTCTTCTTTTTGTTCTGTGTGGCTGTATTCTGCTTCCTCATATTCCGAATTGTTGATTTGATTCTCAGCTTTATCAACTCTACTGTTGCTTCCCTGTAATTCTTTATTTCAATGAGTATATCCTTTGTTTCCGACTGGATCTTTTTTACGCTGCTGAGGTCCTCACTAAGTTCCTTAGGCATCCTTATAACCAGTGGTTTGAACTCTGCATCTGATAGATTTTTTATCTCCATTTCATTTAGCTCCTTTTCTTAAGTTTTGATCTGTTCTTTTGTTTGGGCCATGTTTCTCTGTCTCCTCATTTTGGCAGCCTCCCTGTGTTCTTTTCTTGATCTTAGGTAGAGCTGCTATGACTTCCTGTGTTGGTAGCATGGCCCAATGTAGTAGGTGTCCTGTAGAGTCCAGGGGCACAGCCTCCCCTTTCAACCAGGCTGGGTGCTTGAGGTGCACCCTTCATGTGGACTGAGTACACCCTCCTCTTACAGTTGAGCCTTGGTTGCTGTTGGCATATTAATGGGAGGGATTTACCCAGGCCAGTCAGCTGCAAAGATTGACTGTGACCACTTACCACTAACCTCCACCCTCAGTGGAGGATCAGCTGTTCAGGGGCAGGGTAGTAGTGCTCCAATGTCCACTGGGTGCATGGGCCCTGGGGTTTCTAGGTGGTGCAGGCCAAGGTCAACCCCCCAGCTGTGTTTCACTCAGGGCCACCCTGACTGAGCTATAAAACAATCTGAGATGGCTGCTTCTTGTGCTGGGCTTGGAGATTCTGGGGTAAAGCCAAGCTGTGAATCCAAGCTGGCTGCTGCTAGTGCAGGGCCTGGGGCTCACTGAAACTAGCTGTTACTGGTTTGAGAGAATTTAGGAAGTTGTGAAGCATTAGCCAAGACCAGTCATTCAAATGGAAGAGCAGCTTGGGGGACCTGTAAGTTGGGTGGAGCAGAGTCTCTGGGGATCTTCAAGTCAGGTCAAACATTGTTGGCCAGGTCGATGGAGTCACAGATACAGCACCAGCTTGCCGGCTTTGTAGCTCTGTAGGGAGAGGGTTTAGAAAAGGGACAGTGGCCTCTGCTCACTTTGATGTCAGATGCTTCCATTTCTCCCAGTATCCCACTGGTGCCTCTCAAGCTGCTACCCCACTGCTGGAGCTCAGAGAGAGACAGTCTCAGTAGATAAGTCTGTGTGTAGGTTCTTTAGGAGGAACTGCTTGGGGCTCTAGCAGGTTCTTCTACTGGCTCAATCCCCACTGGTTTTTGCAGCCAGAAGTTATGGGGACTTATCTTTCTGGAACTGGAACCCTGGGCTGAGGGGCCTGGTGTGGGTCGGGGAGTCCTCGCTCCCAAGATAACCCTTCTGAATTTTTACCCACCACATGTGGGTATGTGACCAGCCTGTTCTGTGCTTGCAGCCTCCTACCAGTCTGGATGGATGTGGTTTTTTTAATTCTGTAGTTGTCAGACTTCCATTCAACTTGATTTCTGACAGCTTCAAGTGATGGTTGTTCTATATGTTAGTTGTAATGTTGATATGGTTGAGCGAAGAGGCAAGCCATATCTGCCTTGGCCACCATCCTGACCAGAAGTTCTTGAAGTTTTTAGAAAGATGTTATCTTGTGGGTGAGTCAGGGACTGCTGGGAAGTCATCTGATAGAAAGTTGAAAATTTGGGAATGGTCGCAATAGCCTTATGGTTTAAGAAGGAGCAGGACTTAAGTTATATGAAGATGAAAGGGAAGACTTTGTCTGATTCCTACAGCACCCCCATTCTTCCTCCTCTGGAGGCAGGTGCAATGTGACAGAAGGAAGTAAGCTTTAGGCAGGGTCAGAGGCCAGTGGTAGCCAAACTACTCATGCTCTGTGTTAGTGACAGCTAGCTCAGCCATAGCACAGAGTCTTTTTTAAAAAATGATTTTATTTATTCATTTTTAGAGAGAGAGGAAGGGAGGAAGAGAGGGACAGAAATACTAGCATGTGAGAAACATGGGTGTGAGAAACACCAATTGGTTGCCTCTCACATGCCCCCACCCAGGGACCTGGCCTGAAACTCAGGCACGTGCCCTGACCAGGAATCAAATTGGCAACCTCTTGGTTTGCTGGAGGATACTCAACCCACTGAGCCACATCAGTCAGGGCTATAGCACAAAGCCTTGACCAGAGGTGGGGACCTGGCAAGGGGATATTGCTGGAGGAGTTGGTCCTGAGTCTTGATACTGTGTCATCTCTAACTCATGAATGTTGTACAGGCTGCTGCAGAACCAAACTCAAATTTGGCACCATAGGAAAAGGACTTTTCTGGCTCAAAGTGGAGCCTAAGGATAGGTTTGGCTTAAGTTAGGGATACAGAAGCATGTCGTCCCCGCCCCCCCCCCCGCCCCGGTAAATAAAACAAGGCTAAGGAAAGGATCCGACCCTACATAGATTGTGGCTTACCAGATTCCTTTCCATCCCAGTCCACCATTTCTTGAGACTCAGGTTCCAAAATTTATATTCAACCCTAAATTTTTGGCTTCTAAATCTGGCTGGTTGCCTTGGGGCTAGACGGAGGGAGGACTGCATGCAATGAGATGAGTTCTGCTCCATCCCTCAGGCAGGTCACTGCAGGACACAGGCATGTGCAAACTCTTGGGTGGAGGATGATTCATTCTCTGTTGAAGAATCTGCCATTTCTTCCCTCAGCTGGTTCAGGAAGTCTCTGCTTTCACTGGGGGGCAGGTTACTCAGGAAGTATGGAGGGGCCAACTCCACCAGCCTGAGAGAGTCATAGTTAGATGATTTCTGAATACTCTCATAAAGCAGATTTTAAAACTTCTCACTGTCCCTTCCACAAACCCTGTCTCTCAAATCATGTTACTATAAACCATTATGATCCCCTCTTCTTCTTAAAAGCTCTCTAGCTCCCCAGCCATAATTTTGGCCCCAGGAAGAGGAATGGGCTGTGTAGGAGGAGTGTCAATAAACTTACATTTGTGGTTGAATCTCAGAAACAATGGAAAGGCAGTTGTCTTTGGAAATGGAGAAATTGTGGTAAAGCACCCATGGTGGAGGCCTGGCTGGAGCCCGGCGGCTTCGGTAGCAGCAGTGTGGGGAGAGCTGGGCCACATGCTTATGGGTTAGGAGCAGGTAATTTCCAGTCCCATCTATGTCTTGGGCCACCTCATTGAAAGGCAAAGAAATTGAAGGAATAAGTTATAAGAGGCAGATAGTAGAAAAAAGTAAAGGGGCCTGAGAAAGAATTAGTAAGGGTGGTGAGAGTATCAAAAGTAAAGCATCACCTCTAGATGTTATAGTTCCTGCCATACCATACGACATTTTCAGAGCTCCTTGTACCCCAAAGTCTCAGAGAAAGTTTCTCTTGGTTCTAAAAAAATCCTTTGACTGGCCACCTGGACCTCAGTTTTAGAGGTGGCATACCAATCTTTGGTCTCTCTGCCTTCTGCTTCTTTTATGACCCCAATTCTTCCCTCTAACCTTAAGGAAGTATCCAGACAGCAGTGCTTTCTGAAGGTCTCTGCGATTCTTCTCAGAGCCAAAGGCTGGTTGGGACAAGGGAAGTTCAATTTGTTGCATAAGTTCTAGGAGTTCTCCTCGAAGTTTTTGGGCTTGGCACAGTGCTGCCCAGTTTAGACCCCGGGCCTGGCACCAAGCTTTATCTGCTCCATCTAGGAGAAGAAAGGGACCAGGTACAACTAAAGTCTTTATGAGCCCCCCAAAGAACCTAACCCTTGGCCAAAGGGCCTTGTCCTCCTGAGCATAGAGACCTGTCAGCTGGTTGCATACAACTTCCCCTTTGGAAAATCTGGGATTTTATAAGAGGATGCAGAGTGGGCCACTCACTCTGTATAAAGGCTTCATACACTTGGATCAGAGAACTGTGATCACCATCTGCATGTTCCAGGGCTCGACGTAAGGCAGCTTCTTCTGCACAGAGTGGAGGGTGGGTAAACCCAGGGGAAGCTGGAGGCAGAAGACAGGAAGGTTGTTTTGGGGAATGAGAAAGGATAGCAGCACAGGTGGAATGGTGAAAAGGTAGAAATGTCACTTTGGGAACTTAATTCAAAAGACATTGGCCCTGGCTGGTGTGGCTCAGTAGACTGAGTGCTAGACTGCAAACCAAAAGGTCGCCGCAGGTTCGGTTCCCGGGTAGGGTACATGCCTGGGTTGCAGGCCAGGCCCCCTATTGGGGTCAGTTGGGGGTATGTGAGAGGCAACCAATTGATGTTTCTTTCACACACAGATGTTTCACTCCCTCTCTCCCTCCCTTCCCTGCTAAAAAAATAAATAAAATCTTAAGAAATGTTTCCCTAAACAAAAGACATTGATAACTTCTATGTGCTATACACTTTAGTAGACATTGAAGATAAATGAAAGACAGTCTCTGTCCTCAAGGAGTCTGGTGAAAGAGACTAACGAGTAAGCAAACTTGATGAGCACGATAGGTGGTGGGCCAATATTTGTACTTGAAGTTTGAGTAGGAATTAGCTCAATGGAGAAGGGGTAGAGAGAGGATTCTAGACAGTGGGAAGGGCAAGTTAGTAGCATGGCATGAACTGTAAGCATCTAGTTTGAGTGGCAGAAATGACTGGCATGGCAGACTCACAGGAGATAAAGCTGTGGAGGTAGGTATGGGCCAGAACATGAGAGGCTGGATGTGCCAGGCAAATGGGTTTTACAATCTGTCCAGAATGTAAAGAACAGCTATTGGAGAAAAGTTTTTAAATAAGAGAGTTCATGACTTTGAAGAAGTTCACAGAACCCAACTGAGCAGTGACAGGACCTGACATTAGCACTGATGGTGAGTGTGGAGGAGAGCAGGTTAATTTAAAAACTTTAGGAGGTAAAAATGAAAGAACCTAGAGAAAGATTAATCTAGAATAGTGGTACTGGAGCAGAGATGATGGTGTGATTTTGTGAGAAGGTCGCTTAAGAAAGTGGTCAAGTTTAGTTCTAGGCTAAAAAACTGAGGACTATACTGCTAGAAATGTCCATCAGGAATTGGCTATATGAATCTAAGGTTCAGAAGAATGATAGTGACAGGGACATACAAGGTTTAGAAATTCTAAGTGTGAAGGTGCCTGTTAGACCACAGGTGTGGATGACTTGCTTAGAGAGTTCAGGGAATGAGAAGATAAAAAGGGGCAAGAATGGAAAACTCTGAGGTCCAATTTACAGTGGATGAACAGAAGATCGAGAGCCCAAGTAAGAGATTAGTGGATTGGGCAGTGTGGTAAGATGCAAATCATGAGGAGAGGTCACAGAAGCTTAGTGGGGGCAGTTTCAAGGTGGGAATGGCCGACATTCTGAAGTGTCAAAAGGTCATGAATAAGGGCTCAAAAGTGTTCACTGGATTAGGTCTTTGGGAGGTCACTGGTGAGCTGAAGGCTGTCCCAGTGCTGTGGTGGGCCTGAAGCTGGAATGCAGTGGGTGAGGATTAGATGGAGTAGGGTGGAGATTATACTGTCTAGCTGAAGGGGAGTACAGGGTTGAGAAAGAGGGGTATGGGTTTTAGTAACAACAGATAGGAGAGTTTGAAGCATGTTGAGAGGAAGAACCAGCAGAAAGAAATGGCTGAAGAGACGAGAGAGATAAGTGATTAAACCTGGCTCTGTAGGCACTGTGAGAGGTAGGGACTGGAGCACAGGAAAGGGCTGACCTTTGGAGCACCAAAACACCAAGCAGAAGGACTGAATAGGCGAGGGAGCCAGGGAGAGAGTTGTACCAGTGAGCATGGCAGCGAGGGTGAGCATCTCATCCACACAGTCAAACTCGCAGGAGGCCAGCAGGGCTTTGGCCAACTCAGGGGGCAGAGGGAACTCTGACAGGATGACCCCCAGGTCTGACAGGTCCCCGTTATCATCCAAGGCTGCCAGATAGTCCAAGTCTTCCAGGGCCTGCATCAGTGCTTCTGGAGCTGGTGAGGAAACAGGGCTGATAGGGCAGGGAGTCTCGGAGTCTGATGGTCAGAGAGCAGGGCGTTGGCAGGAGGGGGCTCACCAGGACGGTCCAGGAAGTGGCAGTCCCCTGGCTCTGCAATCTGTCTCCTCTTTAGCAGTAATACGAGGGGGCTCAGATTCTCCTCACACACCCTGGGTTGGGTCAGTGGGGGAGCTTCTAGTTCTTGGAAGGACTTAGGATACAGACAGAGGCAGGATCCTGAGGAGGAGAAAGACCTGGGAAAGACTGCCTGTTGGTGACTCTTTCGTGGTTGATCTCAGCAAGGACAAAGGCTCTTACCTGGGGTGGTCCCTCTTGCCCGCAGTTGTCTTGCCTCTGCCTGACACTTGCTGATTGGCCTCAACACTTGGGATTCTGCTCGGATCTGAGGATTGTACACCTGTCACCGCCCCCCAACCAAGGCCAAAACAGATCAGAGCTGGCCATTTATATCTTTAGCCCCCACACCCCCTCACCTCTGTCACTCACACTTCGAAGCTCCAGTCCTGAGTCAATGACATGTCGAATGGAAGGGAGGGAGAAGGAGAAGTCAGCCAGCCAGTGAGTGACCACAACCTTTCGGGCACCTGAGTGTGTATCCTCGTACACAGCCTGAACAGCTTGACCATGGCCTGGGTGAAGGGGCATCACCCGTGGTGGAGGCCCTTGGATAGCCAAGGTCCCTACCTCCCTGGACAAGGATTCACAGCACAGGGAAATTTCCTGAGGAGAGGGGTGGGGCATTAGGGTAGTTCTCGCCTTTTTGGGTCATAGACCCCTTTAAAAAACTTATGAAAGCTATGGCCCTTCACCCTGAAAAATGCACATACTTATAAAAGTAGGGGGTGTTATTATTTCAGGAATTCATTGAACCACAAATCTCTGCATTAGATGGAATCAAAAGAGGGTGGTAGACCTCTTCACCCTGAAATCCTTGTTTTCCTCAGGACCCCAACCAATGAACACTGCGGTTCCAGCGTTTCTAACAAGCAGTGAGTGCTCCCACTCCCCCAGCACAGGAAGGCCGTGTAAGAAGCACCTCCTTTTGCAGCCTGTTTTTTTTTTTACCTCCTCACTGGGCAGGTACACTAGCACGTCTCCTGGAGTTTCCTTTCGACACAATTCAAGCACAGCCTGGCAGGCAACTTCCACTCGATCAGCAGGGACAGTGTCCATGTAGGTGGGAGTAGGACAGCTACCAGGCCCTCTGGGTACGTGTACAATAGGAGGATTGTCCCAGAAGGCTTGGAGCTTAGGCTCAAGGGCTGGGTCAGTAACCACAACTACTCTGGGGTCCTGCGGGAGGTTTCCCAGCTTGGCATCTCGCAGCAACCCCTGGAGCAAATCTGAGGCCACTGACCGCTCCTGAGCCTCATCCAGCACCAGCACATCCCAGTCTCCAGTGCCCCGGGCTGAAGCCAATTCCTGAAGCAGCAGCCTGTCCCAGCAAAACCTGTTGACGTTGCCAGTGGACAGGGGAGTCAGTGTGGACACTGACCAGACCCAGAAGTCCAGGGGACCTTCTCCCCAAGGGCCCTAGATTTTGATAGTTAAGGTCAGAAAAAGAGATCATGACTGAATTCCTGGGCCTGTGGACCCTTAACAGTGACCCACAACCTTACTGACTGATGACACTTTGTTCAGAAGCTGTAGTCCAGCTGGGAAAGTGAGACTTGTGATGAGGGTGAGGATGAGTGTCTGAGGTCCAGGCTGGGGTTAAAGAGCCTAATTCAGCATTGCATAAATCATGCATAATACATGATTTAAAGGGTGAGCTGGGTGCTCACTTTGGCAGCATATAAAATTGAAACAATATGGAGATTAGCATGACCCCTGTGCAAGGACGAGATGCAAATTTGTGACGTGTTCTATATTTAAAAAAAGGGCAGTGGTGAGCTGGGCTGAGAGAGTGTAATGGTGAGATGTCATAGGACTAGGCTCGTTTCTCCTGGGTGAGGGGAATTAGATTTTAATCAGGCCTGCAGAAGGCCTCACCTGAGCAGGGTGTGGGGCCCAGTGCAGTCCTCCTGGGGGATGCTGTAGCCAACCTCATGACCCAGGGTCAGGTCCATCTCATCAGCAACCTGCAGGGCCAGGCTCAGGGCTGCCAGAGGGTAGGGTTGAGTGACAGTTACCCGGCCCTTCTGGAACCCCCTGGCCAGCGCAAATTCTGCACACCACTGAGGGATCTAGGATAGAGGTAGGGAAGGACAACCAGCCATCAAGACATAGGACTTCCATTAGAAGTGCAAGGGGAGATATGGCCAGCTTAATCTCTCCTTATCTGGGGCTGTACCCTGGTCCTTCAGCACCCTAGGGCCAGCTTAACCCAACTCCCTTTGCCTACCTCCCCCGTAATTCCTGGCAGCCCAATCCCCCCTTGCTCAGGGAAGGGTCAGTTCCCCAGGCCCTCCCCTTGCCCACTCCCAGAATCCGACCCCTGCCCTCCCACCTGGGTGCTCTTGCCAGAGCCAGGCTCTCCAGACACCAGCACAACTCCACTGGGGCTACTTTCCAACTGCTCCAAGAAGATAAAGCGAGCAGCCCAGATGGGCAAGGCTCGGCGCTGCTCAAGCAGTTCGTAGTAGCGAGAAGAGAAGGGGAGCCCGTCAAAGGGGTTCACTGCCAGCTCAGACTCCCCAGGGCTCAGGCCAGACTCTTCTGCCAGCCCAAGAAGCTGAGAAGCCATGGTGCCTCACTGGTAGGACCTACAGAAGGCAGGGCAGTTATTAAGGCTTCATACCATCTTTCCATCTCACCCCTGATCCCCAGCCTGTACCCTCAGCTGGGTACAAGGAAGGGGTCCATCCTTCCCAGCACTTCTTGCCTGCTAGGAAAACAGTGGAGACTTGAGTTTCCAAGTAAGGGACTAACAAAACTGATTACCCTCTAGTCAGGTAGCAATAATCCTGTGACTGTCACAGGGGCCATCAGGAATTATGAAACCTATGGGAAGGACCCCAAGGGGAAAAGATAAAGAATAAGAGGAGGAGCACAAATCAGGGAGTAGGGCCACAAGGATCCTGGATTCAAACCTGCTTGCAGCTCTGAGACGTGTCAGAATGGCAGCCAGTTCCCAGCTAGTTACCTTGACCAGCATGAAGTACAAAGGTAAGTTCCGGCTCCACCCTGGGGCTCGGCTCAAAGGCAATTCTAAAGACTGCATTTGGGGTGGAGCCATTTGCTCCACCTTGTTTAACCTCGTCAGGAGCCTGTGGAAACAGGCTCCAGCGGCCACACTGGGCAGGTACCAACTCTACAGAAACCAGGCACAGTGAAAGGCATTCTGGGACTTGTATTTTTGTTTGTTTTAAAAATACTTTATTTATTTTTAGAGAGAGAGGAAGGGAAACGTGTCAATTGCCTTATCCGCACCCCATCTGGGGACCAAACCTGCAACCTGGGCATGTACCCAGACCAGGAATCGAACCAGTGACCCTTCACTTTGTGGGGCAACACCCAACTGAGTCACATGGTGGTCAGGGCCTAGGACTTGTGGTTTGGCAGTTGTTTCTTCACAAACCTGGGCTCAACACCCAAGCTATGTCCACTTGCTGCTGGATCTTCAGTTTAGTTACACTTTCTTAAAGCCACTCATCTCTTGATGTGAAGGGGTGATTTCCAACAGTTCCATCTGACTGCCCCCCACAAACCTACAAGGAGGACCTCATATCCATTCCCCCAACTGAACAAAAAGGAACCTGCTTAGGGGAATTTTTAGACCCAGAGAGGCAACAGAGACCTTGAATGAAAACCCTGAATTTAATGTGATATTGAGGGGAGCCCCATCTTTCCCTTTCTACCACCCACCCATCGGCCTGTTGTGAGCTGGGTGAGGGCTGCCCCCAGTCTCCGTCCTGCGGCTCTGGGTGCCATCCTGTACTCAGTCAGCCTCCTGGGCCCGTCTCTCTGTGAATCTCCTGTGGGACATAGGGGAAAAACATTGTGTGGGCTTTGCCATATTATGTACTAGCTCCATAATCAGATCCTTCCTACCCACTGACCTCTAAGCCCCTCACCTTCTTGCGTATTCATACAGTGCCTGCTTGCGCTCCTGTAGGCTTTCCTGCCGGGCCCAGGAGGACTTGGCAAAAGTTATGGCTGTGGGCTGAGGCATCGGGCCAGAGCTGGGGAACTGAGGTGATCACAATGTCAGAGGGCTTGCGAAGTCATCATCATTAAACACGCATCGAATGCCTACTTTGCAAGAGAGGCACCATGCTAGGGTCTCAGGATCGAAAAAGAGACATCAGGGATAAGGAGTATGTAGACTGCCCTAACCCCCCAAGTCTTAGATCTGACCATTTCCTGGGTCTCACCTTAGGAGCAGAAGCTGTGGGAAGGGACTGGGTCCCCTCGGTGATGTCTTCAGGTATGAAAGCTACAGCTCCCTCAAGTAGATTGGTGATGGTCAAGTCTATGCACCCAGTCTTGGCTGGGGAGAAGGGAAGAGTGGAAAAGGGATCTTTCTCCCTGCTCACAATTTCTCCTCACCACCCACCTTTCCTCTCTGTGCCTGTCTTTCTGTGGGAGGCTACCCTTTTCCATACCCAGATCTCTCTGGATGACGTCCAGTGGCACATGGGGTAAAACCTCCTTGACTCTCTGTGCCAGAGTTGCCAGCTGCACATCAGGAGAAGGGCCAGGGGAGGGGAGGAAAGACGACTGGGCTGCAAAAAAGAGATCTGAAATATGGTTAGTAGAGAATGAAGAGAAAGGAGAGGCTGACTAGCACAAGAATAGGGAAAAATCACATCAGCCTGGGAGAAAAGAAAAAGCTTTGTGTACAGAGACTACACACCTGACTGCGGACGCAATCTGGGGTGTCTCTGTCGTTTCATGTGCTCTGCTTTGTCTGCTGGAGTGAGTCGTGTCCCTGTCTGACCCAATTCTTTGGCCACCAGCTGGGGAGAATTGGAAGGTTGGGAGTGTCAAAGCCGCAAGTTGTCCTCTCCTTCTCCTTAAGGAAAGACCCACCTCCCCCTGCCTGTGTACCCTACCACCTGTTGTACACGGAGGGCAAACTCCTCATTCCCCTCCCCTAGGTGGCGATGAACAGGACGGAGCCACCTGCAAAAAACAAATCAGGGCCATGTTGGGGGCACCAGGAATATAGGCTGTCACCCTACTTTGATGCCTCATTTCATGGGACAGTGGTGTTAAGGGTGGAGAGAGAGTAAATACTTGGTGCTGCATCTATGTTGGAATCTTGATATTAAAAGATCTACAAATGGACAGGGCAGAAGCAACCACTTTCCTGACCTTGAGGTGAGCTCTTCCCAGCCACCAAAAAGTAAGGACAATTAATACCTTACTTGATACACCGTGAAAGGGACGAATAGTGACCACAGCAGTTCTGAGACCCAGGAGGCATCTGACACAGTCTAAGGAGTCATGAAAGTGAGATCTAAGTCAGGGCCAGGAGTGGGAATCTTTCTCCCAAGCCCCAAAGATTCCCTGTCCAGCGTGCACTCACCACAGAGACTAGGGGTCTCTGGACCCGAAGAGTAAGAGGCTGTACCACATCCTGGATAGAAAATGGCCAGGAACTAGAAGGAAGAGAGTAGAATGGGATTCCAGCCAGCATAGTCAGCAGCTCATACCTGACTTAAAAGAGGAAACTGTCAAACTGCCCAAGTAGATAAATGGGGAATAAAGGGATTTAGGGAAAACGAACCAAAAGGAAATTAACTACGAATGGAAGGGTTAAGGCTGAAGAAGATTTTGGAAAACCGAAGGGTCCCCAAGCCAGAAAACCTAAGCATTTACAGACTAACACCTGTGCTCACCCACCTGAAGTGCAGGAGCCCCTCCCGGCCATTGGTGGCCTCTTCCTCCGGGAATAGCAGCAGATGGGTGGGGGGAAGCCTCGTGGAAGCACAGAATCTCTTGAGTGACTCCACCAACTCCCCCCGCCCATCCATCTCCATGAAGCCCCGAGACCAGCACACAAAGCTGGGGGGACTATTGAGTAGAGGCTGGGAACAGGGAAGATAGAAAGGAAGAAGAAAAGAATGTTGGGAAGTGATAAAACTGACATGTGGGGTATAGAAGCGGGGTTAGGGGTAAGGTTCAGTATCTCGTGGCCTCCGAGGGAAAACGGGGCAGGCAAGCTGGGTCCCAGGGGACTGCCCGTAGCGCAATCGTCCTCGTCCCCCACTCACGGTGCTACAACTGGTGAGCAGGTTGACTATGTTGTGGTCGAAAGGTGTCACATGATTGGAAATGAGGACCCTGACGCGGTGATCCCGGACTCCGGAGTCTTCCTGCCGGGCCACTAGTCCCAGCACTGCACACATGGTCCGCACCACGAACCTGGGGACGCAGGCAGTAGTGACTGCACCGTCTCGGGCTGGACACATCCCTGACCCTCCCCGGGCGCCCGGGTCGGAACCTGCGAAGAACGCTGTCTGGGAGTGCGCAGCTGACTAGGAAGACGTGGATCCCAAGAAACAGACGCAGGACTAGGAGGCAGAACCCGACGGGCGCGTACAGCAGCAGCGCGAGGAGCAGGAAGCCGTCACCTGGGAGCCTGGGGACGAGAGGCGGGGTGATCCGGCACCGAAGGCCGAGTGGACGCGGGAGCCGGTCTCTCCCCGTCTGAGCTCTTACCGGTGCGAGTCAAAGAGCCGCTCCGGCCCCGGCGCCGGCGGAGGCTCCATCGCAGCTGCTTTAGGGGTGTCTGGCAGCTGCCAAAGCGGCCATCTTCGCGACCCGCCGCAAGGGCTCCTGGGAAGGCGGAGTCTCCGGGCGTCGACTCAGGGTGCGGTGACCAAAATCCTGAGGCGCCCCGGAAGGGCTACAGCCCCAGCATGCCTCGCGGGCCTGTGGGCCACCTCAGACTTCGCGTCCCGTAGGGACCACAATTCCCGGCATTCGCCAGACGGAGGGCGGAGTCGGCCTCCCGGAATCCTGGTTCCAGCGTGCACTTCTGGAGGACTTCAGATACCGGCGTGCTCCGCGTCCGGCCGTCCACCCGCTCACGTCCAGGGCGCCGCCTCTGTGTAGGGCGGGCGAAGAGGCAGCCGAGGCGGAGCTGATGGCTGCACTGAGGGCGGGGCGGGGTGCAGGCTGGGGCTTTCGGGGATGGCGAGCTTTTGGGGGTTTATTTTGGGGAAAGGCCTCTCTGTTGACCCCTGACCTCCGGGCCCTGCTGACGTCAGGAACTCCCGACCCTCGGGTCGGAGGGTCTTACGGGACTCCCAGTCTCCGGGCCCAGTTCTCTGTGGGGGTCCCTGGACCACGAACATGTCTGACGTCAGGGACTTCGGACTCCCGAGCACGGCTGACTGCGGAGACCCCAGATCCTCAGACTCGGGAGAACTCAGGGACCCCTGGAACCCGTCCACGCGTGTGGCTGGCCGTGGCACTGGGCGCTGGTGGGGCAGTGCTGCTGTTGTTGTGGGGCGGGGGGCGGGGTCCCCCGGCCGTCCTTGCTTCTGTCCTTAGCTCGCAGCCTGCCTCTCCCCGGAGCCAGTACAACTTCATTGCAGACGTGGTGGAGAAGACTGCACCTGCTGTGGTTTATATCGAGATCCTGGGACGGTAACGGTGGGGTAGACCAGGAGGCACCCAGTTGCGGGCTAGAGGGCGGGCGAGCTGGAGGAGTTCGACCTCCTCACTTTCGTGCTCTCCCTCCATTCCAGCCACCCTTTCTCGGGCCGCGAAGTTCCCATCTCGAATGGCTCAGGATTCGTGGTGGCTGCGGACGGGCTCATTGTTACCAACGCCCATGTGGTGGCTGATAGGCGCCGAGTCCGTGTGAGGCTGCCTAGTGGGGACACGTATGAAGCCATGGTCACAGCTGTGGATCCCGTAGCAGACATTGCCACGCTGAGGATTCAGACTAAGGTGGGAGTCCGGGCAGCCCAGGGCTGGTTGGGGCTCTGAATTTGCTCTTTTCTCCAGATGATAGACCCCTGGTACGCATTTTCCTTTAGGAACCCCTCCCCACACTGCCCCTGGGGCGCTCAGCTGATGTCAGGCAAGGGGAGTTTGTGGTTGCCATGGGAAGTCCCTTTGCACTGCAGAACACGATCACATCCGGCATCGTCAGCTCTGCTCAGCGTCCAGCCAGAGACCTGGGCCTTCCGCAAACCAATGTGGAATACATCCAGACTGATGCAGCTATTGATGTGCGTACTGATATGGGAAAAGTGACAGTCTAGGTTGGGAGAGGGACAGGGGCTGTGTGGTGCAGGCACCAAGTGTGATAGAAGGTGGACGAGCCTATACCATATGGAGGTTGGGCTACAAAAATGTAGAATTTGGAGAAGATGCCTGCAGCCTGGTATGCACTCAGGCAGAGAGTCCCTGGATCTCTTCCATATTTTCTCCTTGTCCTGCAGTTTGGAAATTCTGGAGGTCCCCTGGTTAACCTGGTGAGTGGGACATCCTTTCCAAGAATCCCTGTCCCAGGTCAGTGTGGGAAGAGGTGGGCTTTTCCCTGATTCAGTGAGGTTTGGTTAAGTTTCTGAACAGTCCCTTGTTAGCTGTCTCCCAGAATCCAGTCAGATCTACCCAATTCCCCAATGATCCCTGCTGTTCTTGTTCAGGTACACCCCATCTCCTACTATTTATTCATGTTAGGGAATAGTTGATTCTGTCCCTGCAGGATGGAGAGGTGATCGGAGTGAATACCATGAAGGTCACAGCTGGAATCTCCTTTGCTATCCCTTCTGATCGCCTTCGAGAGTTTCTGCACCGTGGGGAAAAGAAGAGTGAGCCTGGGTTCGGGGGGAGAGGCTCCTTTAAGTGGTGGGGCATTCATTGGGCCTTGTTGGAGAAGGGTCTGTTGGGAGGAGAGAGGGGAAGGAAGGATGTAACTGGGTAGGGTTTATTTGTCTCTTTATCACAGATTCCTGGTTTGGAACCAGTGGGTCCAAGCGCCGCTACATTGGGGTGATGATGTTGACCCTGACTCCCAGGTATGAGCTTTAGGAATAGTGATCTGTAGGATGCCATTGGTGAGCCAATGGCACTTCTGTTGAGCTTTGTTCTCAGAAAATTCTATCTTTATGTGTGGTGAACTGCGTCACACTTGGAGCTATCAGAAGATAGCTCCTCTCTCCTGTTGACTTTCTCTCTCATCCTGTTGACTTTCTCACCCCATTCCATTTTGCACAGCTGTCATCAGATTGATTTCATCTCATTAGTGCTTTGATTTAAAACCTTCCGTCTATTAACCTGGTGTTTGGGGTCATTTTCCATTTTTCAGACCTGGCTTTCTACATGACTATATTCTGTTCCAGCCAACCTGATTTCCTATTACAGGTTTTTATTTATATTGTTCTTTTTTATATATAGTTAAATAGCTGACCCATCCTTTTAGGCTCAGCTGAAGTTCTACTCCTTAAAGCTTCTCTTAGGATTCTACAGTGGATTACTTCTATTGATTTAACATTATGTGTTATGTGGAATTAGGTACCTTTTCTATGCACGTCCTACTTCCTAACTACTAGAAGGCAGAAAGTAAGTTGCCTTTGTATCTGGAGTACCTAGTGGATTTCTTGTCCATATAGTCATCAGTGTGTTGATGAAAAACTGAAGGTGAACCCAAATGGGGAGAGCACCTTGGTGTGGTTAACAGGGTGATCTGTGTCCTTTCAGCATCCTTGCTGAACTACAGCTTCGAGAACCAAGCTTTCCTGATGTTCAGCATGGTGTGCTCATCCATAAGGTCATCCTGGACTCCCCGGCACACCGGTGAGGGAGAGACTGCACTGTGAGGTGGTGGTGGGTGAGGTGTACATGTGCCCATGAACTGGGCTGTCTACTCCTTCCTTTCTCTCTGTCCATCTTTTGCAACAGGGCTGGTCTGCGGCCAGGTGATGTGATCTTGGCCATTGGGGAGCAGCTGGTACAGAATGCTGAAGATATTTATGAAGCTGTTCGAACGCAGTCCCAGCTGGCAGTGCGGATCCGGCGGGGAACAGAAACACTGACCTTATATGTGACCCCTGAAGTCACAGAGTGAATGGATCAGCAAGAGTATGGGGCTCCTGCTCTGATTTCCACTTGCTTTCCTGGCCTAGGCTGTGAGGGCAGCTGGACAGAGGATTAAATGAACCAGTGGGGGGCAGGTCCCTCCAACCACCAGCATCAATCCCTGGGCTCTGAAGAATCACAAAAACACTTTTTATATAAAATAAAATTATACCTAGCAACATGTTATAGTAAAAAATGAGGGAGGGATGCTGATCTTCTCTCTCCCAAAAAGGCTAGAGGTGAAGCTGTATTCCCCCCTCACTGAAGAGGGGGTATACTGGAGCTGACCATCCTGACCTCCCTATTCAAGAAAATGAGCTGCTGCTGTCGGTTGTTCTGGCCAGTTAATCGGGCTGCTCTTTGTGGTGAGCTCAGCTCAGTGCTGGGCCTGGGAGCCAGGGTTCCCCATGCTTGGTCACAGATGCAGACAGCTGGCCTAGGAAAGATGGTGGTTACTTCTGCTTGACAGTCCCATGTCTGCAGTGCACACGGATGAGTGTGGTGGGCTTGCTGACGGCAGGGGTTTCTTGGTAAGCTCCTGAGGTAATGGCAACCTCAGACCCCTGCCATTAGGGGCCAGTGGTGGTCTGAAGAGGTGAGTATTAGCACCTTAAATGACCTGGTTGCTGGTCTGTCCAGGGTAGCGCTCGAACCTCTTATTGGCCTCTTCACTGAAGGCATCACCTGTAAAGGGAATGGGCAGTTTGGGCAGGAAAACAGATCCATTGTGGGAAAGGGTGGGTGGAAGTGGAGAAGCTAGGAGATCCAGAGGTGGGTGGGAAGACAAACAACTGGGAGAAGAGAATGAAGGCCTTTCCCTCCCATCCCCCAGTCTTCCTGGGCTGCCCTTCCCACCAAATACCAATGTGGCAGTTGTGCACCCAAATGCGATGTCCATCATATTTGCAGTTACATTTCATCGCATTGTTGGTGAAGTCACTCTCTGCTACTTCAAAATTGGGGTTGATGACCACCTGCGAGGGGGAGAAAGGCAACATAATTCAAAGGTGTCGAATAAACACTCCTTCTACTTGGTAGTAGGACATATCAGACCCCAGGCACCTGCAGAATGTAGTTTCCTGGCTTCACATCTGTGATGTCAATCCATTGACAGTCAATGTCATGTCTGTAGAGATCCCAGCAGCCTACAGTGATGCCCTGCTCTCCAAAGTTGGCACACTCGTATCTCTTGGAGACATCTGAAGGGATTAGCATGACACACATCAGCGTGAGGCAAGGCTGAGGGATGGAGGTACTGTTGTCCATTCTAGGCCCCCACTCACCCTCCTGACACTCGGTGTCTTCTAGACAGAAACTAGCTTTGTGGCCCTCAGCCACCTTGGTGCCGTTGGGGGTCAGGATATCATAGTGAGTGAAGATGTCCATACTGTGGTAATGCCTATGGGGGCAAGAGACAAGGGAGCTTGTTTCCTTCCCTGCTCCCTGCAGCCTCACACTCACCCCAGTGGCTTTGCTCTTCTACTAGACCCACTCACCCATGGCACTCGTGCCACACCCAAGAGTGGCGCCCAGCCTTGGGCCTGAAGTCAGCTCGTCCCAGGTTGTGAATCTGGGAGGAGAATCGGAGTAGACGGCGGTGGCCGTAAGGCCAGTTGGCTGAGCGGGCTGAGCGGGCCAGGCAGTTCTCCTCCGCAGCACAGTACAGCATGTGCAGGGGCCGGTCCTCGATGTAGGCGGTCTCCTGCACCAGTGCTGAGTGCAGCAGCAGATCTGATGCGGCTGCACCGGGAAGGAAGGGGAATGTTAGAAGTCACTGCTGAAGGGCGGGGACAGATGGGGATGCTTTCACCCTGCCCCTCTATAGAGTGTATAAAGCTGTTTTTTTTTTTTTTAATGGGAAGGAGTACCCCTCCAGATTACAGCCTTCTCATTTGCAGAAAGGGGTGGCCCAGAACCTCCCTTCCCTGGCTGGCTCTCCACTCACTCTCAGAACAGATGACTCCGGCAGTGAAACGGGTGTCTGTCCTCTTGCAGGCAATGTGGGTGCCGTGATGAGCACATTGGTCCAGGGACAGCTCGGTCCCTGTGCAGCGCACTCCACTCATTACTACCTCTGTTGTATTCCCTGAGTCCCAATACCAGGTCTCCTGGGGACACATGCAGATGTTTCTGTGAGGCCCCACTATCCAGCCTCCAGGGTCAAAGAACTCATTTCCATAGTCCTCTGCCCCAAACACAGGCTTTGGAGGCAATAACCTTGGCTCCTCTCTCCTTCCACTCACCTGCAGGCCATGGTTGGCATAGCCCAGTCCAAGTTGCCTACAGACCACCATGGCCTCCAGTGTCCCCCAGTCATCCCCACAGATGAGGCCCCAGCGAAGGGGCCCGGGTCCCCCTATTTGCACCTCAACTCGCCCTTCATGTCGGCTGCGGCCCCCACTGAGTCGGATCTGTAGTGACAGAAGGGAAGAGCTGGGAAAGCTTTTGGGGTGGGGCAATGGGGGTCTGTAGCAGGCTGTGGTAAGGGGTTACTCAGAGGCACATAAAGGGCACATGGGGTGTCAGGTGGGAGCTGCAGGATTGCAGGGGCCGAGGGCAGTGGTTTGGGAGCCATCACGCTTCAGAATGTGACCAGATAAGATGCGAGATACCTGAGCCAAGGTGGAAAGTATGACTGACCCTGGTCTCTACCCCAGTGTAGGGCATGTTGCATCGAACTCCAGCATCCTGGCCATGGGAGCAGTCCTCAGCTGTGATGTTCTTGTGGGGGCACTTCCAGAGGGAGGGTTCCTGTCCAGAGCATCGAACTTCACTGAGATGGATGGCACCCATGCCTAGGGTCAAAGGCCAAAGATCAGGAGGTTGTAACTGGGCCTTGGTTGTCCATCCAGGGGTCTCCTTCTCCCCAAGGGTTGTATCCCGCAGGAGTGTGTATGTCTTTCTTCCCTGCCCCCCCCACCTTCATCTTTCTCACCCTGCCCCATGCGGGCACCACTCAGAGCCTCCCGAGCACTCCCGAAGCCCAGCTCCCGACACACCACGCTGGCTGCCTGTAGGTCCCATTTGCGGTCACAGACTGTGCCCCATGTGCCAGCCTTCAACACTTCCACCCGGCCCTCTCCAGGGTGGGCCCCGCCCTTTAGACGCACTCGGGCCTATAGAGAAGAGAGACAGTGTGGTGGCAGTGAATGGGAACAGCAGCAGAGAGAGGGCAGAGCAGACCTGGAGATCAATGGAAGAAGGGATGGGGGGGCGTGTCTCAGGTCTGTGGCCCACCCACTGGAAGTTTCCTCCCTGTCCTTAAAGGTCAGGGCTGTGCTTAGTCAGGGGCAGCCAGGCTAGGGTGGGTCTCTACCAGGGGCAGGGAAGGTCATTGTCACTGTCTCACACACCTCCCCCTGAGGTTTCGACTGCTGTTGCTTCTTCTGGCCATTGGACGTTGTGTAGACAGGACCTGGCACACAACTCACCACCGCTGGGGCACCCCCTGGGCACCTGGTGGTGTCATTGGCACGATAGAACTCCAAGGAGCAGCGGGAGAGGTGGGTCTCTGTACCCACACATGTCACCCCATGCAGACCAAAGAAGTGTTGCTGCCGCTGGGCCAGCAGCCTGGGGGGACAGGAGTGGGGAGCAGTAGGGTAAAACAGTGCTCCTGCCTCTGCGCTCGTAACCCGCCTCCCGCTCCATGCTTCTACCATCCCCTAACTTTTCATGACCACTTTATCCCTCTTCTTTCCTCCTTCTCTGCTTCACTGCCCTCCAGAGGGACAAAGGGAATGGTGAGTTTCTGGGCTGAAAGAGTCTAGGTTACTCAGACAGCAGGGTCTATGGGGACCTTTTGCAGCAGAAAAACCTTATGCCATAGGGCCTGTGGGAGGGCAGCCAGTCTTGACTTGCCTGACAGAAACTTTGCTCCACATGGTTTCACACTGTTGACCTTAATAATGGAGGCTGAGGCCTCTGTGCAAAGAGAATGGGCAGCTAGGACCACCCAATGGGAAGAGACGGGTAGGAGGGGGCAGCCAACATGAACAGGAAGCCTGTATAGCCAGAGTACACAGATTCTTCTGCTGTGCTGAGGATGGAATGACTGAATGAGTCAGGATGCAGATGAGTGAGTAAATCTCTCGTCTAAATGGCTCCTGAGAGACCAGAGGGATGCCCAGGCCAGAGTATGACAGGCAGTTATGGGAAGAACAGACTGGTTAGGGGACACACAAAAGATGGGCTGGCAAATGTAGGGATGATGGTATATAAATGCAAGACAGACGGAAGTTAGAGGGATCACATGGCCAGAGAAGGAGAGTGAATACGAACAACAATGGCAAAGACATCCCCAGACCTGAGCCAAGCTGTGAGTCTTTAATGAGGCAGTCTGTGCTTCTGCAATTTAAACATAACAGAAAGAATGTTCCATAGCCACCAGAGTAGGAAAATGGGACTAAATGAGGGATGTTAAAATTTGGAATCACTGCAGAGAGATGCTTCAGAGAATGAGGGGACTTATTATTAACACAAATGGAGTGAGAAATCGCAGCGAGGCATGTGAAGTACCTTCTTGCTAGGACAGCTGGTTCAAGCCCAGAGGGGAAGGTAACCAGCTAAGGCCTGGTATTGGTGGAGTGGGCTTGTGAGGCTGGTTTGAAAGTGAAATATTACAGCGATGTGCCTCAGAGGAGGGAAGGAACATGACAACTTGAAGACATTGGCTAGGAAGACAGAACAACATGTTTATAAACACAGCAGACAAAGGAAGCCTAGAGACTTGACAGAATACCTTTGGAAGCTCAGGATAAGTGGATTCGGAAGCTCAAAGAGATCAGGTACTCTCCCAAAGTCCTGTTTGGCTGAAAATAAAAGTCAAAGAGGCCATCGCAGGAAAAAGACACCTCTCTTCTGGGCTCCCTCCTCCCCTTCCCCCACAACTTAGAAAGTAAAAACGCAGTGTGCACTTTAATGTAGAAGTCAGGGAAGGCCAGAATATGGCCACATTGGGCAAAGATGACCCTCAGCTAAAAGGCACTACAAGAACATCCCCAAATTCCAAGCTTCTTTGAAGCCACCAGAGGGAGGAGCTGGAAAATGAGGGGTACGAGGAGACCAGTGGGTGATCTCAGAATGCACTGAGGAGAGGAGGGGACAATGGAGTGGGATGCGTTTTCTGTGTCTGTCACTCCTGAAGAAGTCATCAGGGAGGATGCATGTGCAAATGGCCTTTGGAAGCCCAGTGAGATGTAATCACAGGTGGGAATTTTCCATTCCCTTGTGTTCTCTTTGAAGCAACCCAGGAGGAAAATTATGGAACCGAGAGCCTAATTGTGTCAGTTGGGCCAGAGAGGATCCCATCCCTGGTTAAGTTTCCAGAGGAGACACTGAGTCTTACCTCCAGGCCAGTAGCACTTGTTTTTAAAAATTAACCAAATAAAGGTAGGATGGAAACACTGACAACTTCTTAGGGGACAGGCAAGTATGGCACTTGGAGGACGAAAGTGCTAGAGTTTCTACTAGAATTCACTGGGGAAGATAAATGAGCATGTGGAACAAGGGCAGTCAGTGGATGAACTCCTATAGAGATTTTTAAAAATCCCATGACAAGCATAATTCCTCAGTGACACAGGGCAAGCCGTACTTTATGGTTCAGTGACTCATCAGGAAGGTGGTCTGTAATAGCTGCTGCTGCTCCCCCACTTTTGGTGGAGGGCTCTCTGGCACCCCTTCCTGACCACAGCCCAATCCCGGGACTCACGGCTAGGTGCTCCCTCTCCTGTCCACCAAACCTGAACTTTATTTACCTCTTGATTGGCCCCCTGCCCACTCGGGGTTTGGATTTGACTTTACGCTTGGTGATTGGTCTGGAAAAAGGAGACAGAAGTTAGTGGAAGTAGTGGTTAGGTACTTGGCCCAGGAAAGGCAGAGAGTGATTTTTTTTTTCCTGTTTCTGGGAAGGACCCCTTATGCAGAGTGTGGGAAGGGATATAATGAAGGCAGCCCAATTTGCTGCAAACACTGGCTGCTGCATACCACCGATGTGTGGTTTTGGATCTCATGCTGCTCTCTGGATTCAGCAACAGTGATGAGAAATCTAATTATGTCAGTCCAGGTGGATGAGGGGAGGAGATAAGAGGGAAGTTAAGGCAGGAGAGAGAATGGGAATGAGGGTGAATTAAGGGAGAAGACTGGGGAAGGGGAGGAAGCATGCAGGTGGCTCAAGCTGCAGTCCAAGCTGTTTGGGGGAAATATAAAAATGAGGAGTCTTCTCCTCAGCCATTCCTTCATTATTCCTCCTAAGATCAAAGCCTGCCCATTCCCACGCCTGCCTCCCCTCCCCATCACTCCCGGAATGGCCATTTTCCAGTCATAGCCTTAATTCATCAGCTTGGGTTTTGGGATGGACATGGATAGGCTGCCTTCCATCCATCCACCTCCTGGGGCCACAGGGGTGTGCAGGAGGTCCCGGGGCTCTTGCCCCATTACCTTCCAAGGGGCTTGGGGCGTCGGGCCGAGGCTTTGGCCGCTCGCTTCCTCAACTTTCTGTGAGGATAAGACAATAGCAGAGTCAGGATCATTCTAGAACCAAGTCGAAAAGGCTGGTGCTCTGGGACCAGGGGCAAGGTTTCTTTTCCTAGAATCAAAGCGTTCGTGGCGGCAGGATGTTATAAAGTCAGACACTCCCAAGGCTCTACCCTTCATAGCTGTTTGGCCTCATAAGCACATGACCAGGTGTGTGAGCAGCAGTGAAGGGCATGGGCTCAGGACTGACAGAACCCCTACACCAGACCCACGGAATTAAGGCAGATGGGGTTATCCCATCTTCTGGGTCAATGCTGAGGCTGATCTAAACCTTAGGGAAGGGCTAAGGGAAAGGGTGTAAGTAGGAGGGTGTTAGGATTGTTAGGCTAGCCAAACTGACCAGGTGAGGAGAGAGAACTGGCCTGGTCATGTCTGGGGAGGCAGACTGTCTTTTTATTCTTGGATGCTCTCTGGCTGCTGGCATTTGAAGGCCTGAGGCTAGTGAATGAGGACCAAGGGCCAGGGTAGGAATATCTAAGGATGTTACCTTGGTTTGACTGGGGGATATGATGCCAGGCTGCTTAGGATGACAGCACCTTTCCTGCCCAAGTTAAAGCCTGTGTGCTTTAGTCATTCACAAACTGAACTCATCCCCCTAGGGAAATAAGTTCTAAAACCTTATTTATTTGTAATTAGTCTAAACATTTGACCTATTTTATTCTTCAAGATATTGCCTTAAGTTTAATGACTGGAAACTAGGTCTGTTTTTCCTCTCACTCTCCCTTTGCTTTCAAAGACTTAATTCTGCCCCATTTTTGTCCCATCCAACTGTGTATGAATGAATGCAGGTCCTGCTCGTCTGTTCTTATAAGTTCATGAACATGTTCTTATAAGAACATGTTCTGCTCTGTTATTGTTTCTTTGAACATGTTCTTCTCTGCTGTTTCTCTTGAGGAGTCATATCTGGATACAGTATATGGCATGAAGAGGCACTAAAATTTTAACATATAGATTCTAAACAGGGCTGAAGCTGTTGGGTATTTCCTGTCTTGGCTACTTCCTGAGGATGTACTTAGTTGGCATTTTTGCCAAAACATCTAATCTGTCCAACATTCAAACCAAGAGTCTACAGTAGTTCTCAGGTCCCTTTCCTGAGACATTACTAAGAGTTTAGACTCTGCCAAGACATTACTAAGAGTTTAGTTTTATAATGTAAAACTTTCCCCTAGATATCTTTTTCTCAAACATGTCTAAAGTAAAATACACTTGGGCCCTGGCTGGTGTGGTTCAGTGGATCGAGCATCAGCCTGCAAGCTGGGGGATCACTGGTTCAATTCCCAGTGGGGGCATGTGCCTGGGTTGTGGGCCAGGTCCCTAGTGGGGGGCTTACAGGAGGCAATCACACATTGATGTTTCTCTTCCTCTCTTTCTCCCTCCCTTCCTCTCTCTCTAAATATGAATAAATAAAATCTTAAAAAAATAAAATACACTCGGCACCTCCTTTTGCCAGTGATCCAGAGAGATCACCTTGGTCTCCAGAGTAGTGCTCAGAAACATGTAGTATTATTTAGAAATCTCGAAGTACAGTAGTCTACCCTTTTCCACAAGAATGCATCCCGGGTGTGACTTGACCCCATCCCTGCAACACACACTCCCCTGGATTTTTTCATTTATAATCACTGTTCCTGAAAATGCTGGTCTGGATTTCTGCATAGCTTGTACCCTTACCTCCTTTAAATCTTTTCTCAAAAGATGCCTTCTCAAAGAGGCCTTTGCTGACCACCCTATTTGAAACTGCAATCCCACAGCCATTTCCTAACCCCTCCCCTGCTTTATTTTGAATAGTTCTGCTCTTTGCTGTTCTTACATTCTTATTCTCCAATTCTTCCTTAGTCCGTGAGATCAGGGATTTTTGTCTGTTTTGTTCACTGTTGAACCCCTACAGTCTACAACAGTCCCTGGCACACAGTAGGCACTCAATAAATAAATACTGAATGAACAAATCTCTATGCTTTTGTTTATGCTACCCTCTTCAATTGAAATGCCTGCTATTTAAGTCATACTCATCTCTCAGACCCTGGTGTTTGGAGTAGGAAAGATAAAGAACAAACAGAGAAAGAAATAGAAAAGAGCAAACAGAGAAAGATAAAGAGCAAACAGCCCCAAGGAAATAACAGTGGAGGAGTCGAGAACATAGATGTTTTAAAACAGTTGAGTCTCTAAAGCAGATAAAGTGTATTTTGGGGGGGCTGAAAGAAATTTCAGATGTGTCTCGGAGCTAAGGCAAAGAAAATCTGAACACATATGGGAAAGAGTGGAGGTTGGATAATATACTGACTTTCAAAAAGAAGAGAAAGGATTCCTCAAACTGTAGATAAGTAATAACCTAGAGTAACTTATGAAATAGAGAGTTTGTGAACACTGAGGGGAAATTATGGTGATCCTTAGAGGCTTAAAATGCTTTCAGTAAACATTAACTCAGTCAAACCACCATGATTTCCTTTTTTGAACGATTACTAATCAATCAGAAGCTGGAGAAAGGCTGTGAACATAGTAGACCTGGGTTTTAGCAAAGACTAATAAAGTCTCCTGTGAGATCATCATAGATAAGATGGTGAAATGTTGGCTACATCATTGTAGAAGTCAATTTGTTTTCAACTGGTTGAAAAGACATTTCACAACTAATGGTTGAAGCCTTTGTGTAAACCTGGAGGAAAGTTTCATAAGAAGAGTCAGGCTTTGGTTTTAAACATTTCAACAAGTTTAACAGTTACTCTGATGAAGCCAGAAGGCACAGCTACCAGGTCTTTCTATGGAAGGAGGCTGGAAAGGATGACACATGGAAAATAATGTCAAGATTCAAGGTAATCTCATGGGATCATCATGGCCTTCAAAATGGCTTTAAAATGATGTAGCGAATTAATAAACTCAACATAGATTTAGGTTCAAATAGGCTGCTCTATCAGTATCCAAGATAAGTGAAGACCTGAACTGGTTTTGGCTGATTACAAGCCCAGGCGGTGCAGTGCGATGGGGCCTCATCGAACTGCAGCGCGAATGGAGGCGCGGCTTAAGCAAAGCGGAGCATTCCTCTGATCAGACCTCGTCAGACCACGTGGGAAGCAGTGTGCCCAGTGGAAGGTCACCTAGATGTCGAGAGGTTTTTCTGCAAAACTGATCTAAGGAAATACTGAAGAAAATAATCATTTTCAAAAGAAAAAAATAGAAAACAAAGGAAAAAAAAGGATACAAGCATTTTTATCCTGCAAAAGTAGATTATAGAGAGACTAAAGATTTCCAAATTTTTCAAAATGACCAAATTAGATGCTCCAGGGAAGAGAGACGTAGTAAATACACCGGTCCCCAGTGAGACTCGTTATTCTGGAAGCTGGCTGGGCTCTCCAGCAGGTGGAGGGCCGGCCGAAGGATATTCTAGAAAATATTCCTATAAGTTCTTAGAGCTCTCGTGCTCACAGACGCGCCCCGCTGGCGGCCTGAGCCCAGGGCGGGACGCCCTCCCTCTCTGGCTCCCGGGAAGAGTCCCAGAGCGAGACACGCTTCCCGGAGGGCGGGCGGCACCGGCCAGTTCCAGTCCTCAGACCCTGGTCGCCTAGGCTTGCGCAGCACGCAACCAGGCTCCGCCTGAGCAGGGGGCGTCCTCACCCTTTCTGAACTCGGACTCGGGATCCGAGCGGTGCCAGGGTGGCGACCTTAACCCACGCTGACCCGCTGCCGCTGGGCGTGGCCTCGAGACTGGCGCGCGCCAGGCGGGGAGGACTCTGCCTGCCAGCCCGCTACCACTTCGGACACCAGAGAGCAGGAGCCTCACTGGTCCCCTTGCAGACCCACCTGGAGGAGCCCCTCATAGTCCCACAATATTTCTCACCTCTCTAGCCTCGTAACGGTGTCTCCCTTTCCCCACTATCCTAGAGGCCCCCCCCTCAGCCCCGTGCCTGGATCCTCTCAGAGGTCTCTCAATCCCATTCTTTAAGGAGTGCCCCTCCACCCAAGTCTGCTCCACCAGCGCCCATATCCCTTCACCTGTAGAAAGCCGTGTTGACCCTCTTTTCGCTGGGGAAGCCCAGCATCCCGCAGACCACGTGGCTGTTGTGGGCACTCCAGCCTTTGTCACACACTTTGGACCAGCCATCGGGAAGCCTCACTTCGACCAGTCCCTCAGTCACAGGCAGGGGTCGCCTGCCCCGCCCAACTGCTGGTCGCAGTCGCACCTCCTCCACTTGCAGGTGATGCTCTACCTGAAGAGGGACCACAAACAGAGGAAGGAATCCGGTAGCACCTTTCACATGTCCTGACACCCTTAGGGAACCCAGATTGCGTGTGCATCCTGTGAACCCAGTGGGGAGCAGGGGCTGAGGCAGGGCTGAGAGAGAGGCGTGCCTCCCCCAGTGGTGTGTTGACTGGAGTGTGGGGTGTCCAGTGGAAGGACTGCTGTGAGGTGCCCTGAGGGATGCTCAAGGGTGCTAGGAAGGAGCACCTCACTGTCTGGAGCAGGTGGTGCACTTCACAGAGGAAGTGGCACTGGAGGAGGGGAAAGTGAGGAGGGAGATGTTCCAGGGTGCCCTGGGGACCAGGTCCCTGCCAGGTTTGTTAATGCTGAAACAAATATGGATTTTTCAGCATCTAGGAGCCCTAGCATTTGCCCCCACCCACTCAGCCTTCCGCTTCCTACGCACCCAAATTGTCCAGTGAGCACATGGAGTCCCCTACCTTCTAGTATCTCCTCTAACCACCTACAACACCCCACCACCCTCTCTGTCTGGCCATCCTGGCTGGTGTGTGTGTGTGTGCACTGCAGACCTCGATGACATTGGAGTCAGGGAAGCCAGGGAGGCGCTCGTCCTTGCAGATGACTCCAGCATCCTCATCGTGGGTACAGTCACTGTTCCCCCAGCCCCTGGAGGCACATTCCGTCACGCTGCGCTCAGTCCCACTACAGCTCAGATTGTCCAGCCAGATGCGGCCTGTGGAGGGAGAGATGAAGGGACAAAGAGGCTTGGGGAGGTAGGATGGGGGGAATGATAGGGGAGTTGGGGACAGTGAGAATGGAGGCCTCACACTTGGCCATGATGATCCCATTTTTTTGGTAAGATGGGGTGGGGAAGGGACAAGGGACCCTGGAGGGAATAGGAAAGGAGGCATAGGATTGATGGAGGGTTGGTGGTGATCTGGGGATGGTTAGGAATCTGGTACAGTGAATAAAAAAACAAGAGTCAACATTGAAATTTGGCTCAGTTCTTACCCACTCAATGATAGTACAACAACCAAGAACCTGTTGTGTTAGGCACTCTGCCATGATTGCACATGCATGTCACTGTAAGAACAGAGCTGCCAGAAGATATTACCACCACTTTATATAAAGAAACAAGGGTTCAGAGAAGTTAAATAACTTGCCTAAGACCACACAGCCAATGGGAGCTTAGGGGTTTGAGCCATTTGTGAGTCTTGGAAGTCTAAGGTCTGTCACCTCAGTCTCACAGTTTCCCATGTGTTCCCCTCTCTGTGCTTCCACATTGTCCCTTGTCCTTCTCTCTGCCTGGACCTTTGAAATGACTGTCATTGACTTCCTCTCAGAATTGGGAGGATCCTCAAAGGTCCTCTGTCTCAGCCACTGTGCAGGGACCCCTGATGCATACATAACCTGACAGGACTTCCCCAGCTTCTGCGGGGATACCTTCCACCTGCCCACAAAGCTATGGGAACCATTACAAAGTCCTTGTGAGTCTTTATAACTTCCCCCTACCCGGTCTAATTCAGTCCTTTGATGCCATAAAAAAAAAGTCCCTTAGCCACATGACTGTCTTCATATTTGAAGATAACCATCATATAATTGCTACCCAAGGTTTTTTCCTTTTCATATAAAAAAAATCCCTGGTTTCTTCAGCTACTCTTCCTTGAAGCTTGGCTTCACATCGTTGATATCTGGGCCCTGTTTGGGTAGCTCAGCTGGTTAGAGCATTGTCCAGATACCCCAAGGTTGCCTGATGCCCTGTCAGGGCACATAAAGAGCCAGCCAATGAGAGCATAACTAATTGGAACAACAAATCAATGTTTCTCTCTCTCTGCTGTCTCTCCCTTCCTGTCTCTCTCTAAAATCAAGCAATAAAAAAATTTTAAAAATCCTTCACATTTGGGCAGCTCTCCTCTGAAAATATTTCCATTTTCTACCATGTCTCTTACAATGTGGCATTCACAAGTGGTTCAGAAGCGGTCTAGCCAGTTGGAATTGGGGAATCCACTGCAGACTGCACCAGCATCTGCCTGTCAATCCCATTGTGGGTTCATACAGTGCAAGCACCCTCAGACCTCAGGTAGAATTGTTCCTAAGCTTCTACTACCCATATTCATACTTGTCCTGGTCAGTGACAGCTTGTTGGTTTTAGCTCTGGCCTATAATGTGACTTAGTCAGCTGCAGTATCTGTGATCTGTCTGTCTTTGGGACATCCAGACATCATCTACCTGCTCTCAACATCTCATGAGAGCACCTGTACTTTAACCAGGGCTCACTTAATCAGGGCTGTGCTCATGCATGGCCTTGGAGAATCATACTTTGTTCAACAGAAAGGAACTTAGATATCATGTAGTCTTTTTGCACATGGGGCATCCGAACCTCAGAGAAGGCGTGGACCAGCCTAAGAACACAGAGCTCTGAGAAGTGACTATGTTGGCTGACATTAGCTATTCTTCGTGTCCTGTGTCCCTGTGGCTGTGTTATCCTGATGGTCTTGTTCCCTGAACTTGGGTCACACTTAGGCAATAACTAGGCTATACCTGGAGCAGTGCTCACCTGTTCCAGGGCCATATTTGGCGCTATGGGTCCAGCCTGTGGCCTCTGTGAAGCCCAGCTCCCGGCAGAGGACATGGGCTGCCTCTAGCGTGAAGTCATCATCACAGATGGTGCCCCATTCACCAGCTTGCTGTATCTCCACACGGCCCTCGAAGGGCTTCCTGGGGAAGCCAGCCAGCCGGAACCGCAGCCCTTGGCTCCTGGCCCTCTTCTCTGGGGCCGTGGATGGGGATGGAGATCCCAGGCACGAGCTGCACAGCAGGCACAGCAACAGCCCCCACAGGCTCCACTGCCAGACACTGACAGGCTGCATGGCAGAGAATGCCTGGGTGCCCCAGAGGGAGAGTGTGTGTGAGAGAAACTGAGATTGAGGCAGGCCCAGGTCCGAGAAAGAGAAATCCTGAGAGGAAAAGAGACAGTAGTAAGACCAGAGACAGAGACAGACAGGGACTAAGACAGTGAGAGAGAAACACACTAAATAAGGGCTAAAACACCGAGTCAAGGAGGCACAGACTTCTAGGTGCAGAGTGAGGAGAGGGAGGGAGGGAAGGAGGGAGAGAGAGAGGCTGAGAGACTCTCCCTCCCCTTTGTAGAGTAAAACTCTCACTATTCGTTGTTAATGTGTCACAATGACCTTCCCTTGTTCTATACTGATCACCTTCATTATCCCCCACTCACATCAGGGGCCCAGAGATCAAAAGACAACCATTAGACACCAAGAGTAAGAGAATGGTTGAGATATAGAGATAGAGACTGAGCAAGAGACACAAAGAGGAAGACCCAGACAGACAGGATGTGAGAGGAAGGGAAATTGTGGGAATGAAAGGTGGGGGGGAGAGAGAGACAGAGACAGACAGACAGACAGACAGACAGACAATGTTGATGATGGACAGAGAGTGATCTGGAAAGATCCAGGAACACAGAACTGCAGAATGGCTGAGAGAGGCAGGCAGCAGGTGAGGAAGAGAGGGACTGACAGGAGCCAAGAAGCAGAGGCCAGAGGGACCCATTCAGCCAGTCAGACAGAGGACAGACAGCTACTGATTGTGGAGAGAAGCAGGCAAGGGGGGCTTAGGAGACCCTTGGATCTAGGGTCCTTGAATGGAGGCGAAGCCCAGAGTCCTGTCTGGGCAGATTCTGTGGCAGAGGCCAGAGACTAGAGTGTGCCAAGAGCCCACTGCAGGCCCTACCCAGCACACAGGCTCTCACTGCCCTGCAGGGTCAAGGGGCCCAGGAGAGCCAGGCCTCCAGATGGGTGGGGGGTGGGGGGGTGGGGTTGTCCAAGCGTCCTGCCAACATCGCCATCAATGTCACCAGGCAACCGCAGGCCGGGGCACCATTCAGTTCCTCAGCCAAGGCCTTCCCTCCGTCAGGGGCTGAGAACAGCTCCTCTACAACAGGAGTGGGGGGCACCCAAAATACTTCCCCAGACTCAGACAAACAACCCAAGAGGACAGCTTTGTTCTGTGGACATTTTGGCTTGGGGAGCCCAGGAGTAGGGCCTCAGAGAGCAGCCATCCGCCTTAGGGCCCTCCCAGCTGCCCTATTTGAAAAATCCTGCAGCCTCCCCCTTTCTACTGCCCCACCCATCTCTCCGTATCTGCCTCCTCTTTCCAATCTTCTTGTCTCACTCTTCCTTGACAATAATAAAACCTTCAGCTGGTTGGCTTCCCCTCGACTCCATCCCACATCACCCCTTTGCCCTCCTGGTCCCTCCACCATCCTCTCCAGCCGCAGCTCCCCTTCCTCAGCAGCGTGACTCCCCTACCTTTGGCTGAGCGGGGGCCCTAGACGCTGGAAGAAGATCCGGGAGACCAGTCCTAGGACTTCCAAAAAAAAGTATTCGGCCTGGGGAGACTGGACCCCTCCCCTCTCTCCCGCCTCTCCTTTTGTCCCTCCCACGTCCCCTAGAGCCCTCCTACATTCTGCCTTCTCTCTGAATTCCTCCTAGACCAGGTCCCTCCTCTAGGTCCTCCCCTCCCCCGTGGAGCTGGCTGGCCGCTGTTGCTCCACCTCCCCCCGCCCCTCCCCTCCCGGCCGGCTCAATGAAGCTTTCTTTTCCCTTGGGTTGGAGGCCGGGCAGCTACGGTCAGGGAACTGGACACGCAAGAGGCCACAGGGTAGCGGACTGGCCCCGGGCGGCGGCCCCTGTGGCGGGCGGCGGGAAGGCCGCGGCTCAGTTTTGGGCTCCGGGAAACCTTCCAGTCCCGAGCCCCTAGCCCGTCCTCCATGTACCCTGCTCCGTGTAGAGTAAATAGCCAGGATTGGGACGGGTCCGGCCGGGGGAAATGAGGCTAGGAGTACCCCATGGTCCCACTGGGTCCCCAGGATGCCCGTCAGCACTTCCCAGGTGATGTCACAGCCTTCACTACTATGTCACGTTGAGCATTTGATGTCACGCGCAGGTCCCCAGCCCAGGCGCCAGAGCGCTCTGGAGGAAACCGCGAGGTTTCTCTAGTGGAGCCATTTGTGCCAGGGCTGGGGGTAAGGTAGAGGCCGGAAGGGAGTGCGCCGTCCAGCTTACCTGGGGACCACCCCCCCTCCCAGCCCCGTTTCATCTTGCTCCTCTCTCTCCTCCCCCTTCGCGGTCCGCGGGGTCTGGGGCCCGAGCGGGAACGCCTCGGGCGGGCCCGCCCCGCCCTCGCCCCGCCCCCGCCCCGCCTCCAGCCTGCGAGGCCAGGAAGCAAAGAAGGAACCGCCGGGGGCCATGGACGGGGCCGTGATGGAGGGGCCGCTCTTCTTGCAGAGTCAGCGTTTCGGTACCAAGGTAGTCTGGGGCAGGGGTGTCTAACCCCATTGGAGCTAGGGGTGGGTGATAGGGCCCAGGAAGCAGGGGGCAGCGGGTAGGAGCGCGGCGCGGGAGCCGAGAGCCCCGCGAAGTTCCCGCGAAGTCTCCTCGCTCACTGCGAGGAGCCAGCTGCCAGCCGGGGGCACGCCCTCTCTGGCCCTGGGAGACTCCGCGGCATCCTCTTCGGGTAACTTCGGCCCCGTCGGGAAGGCCTGCGCGAGTCCCCCGTTCCCCGGCGGGGCCGGGCCGTTGGCCCTCGCCCGCTGCCTCCCCAGCGTCTCTCGCTCTTTTTCCGCAGAGGTGGAGGAAGACCTGGGCCGTGCTCTACCCGGCCAGCCCCCACGGCGTAGCGCGCCTCGAGTTCTTCGATCACAAGGGGTCGAGCTCTGGAGGGGGCCGAGTGGCCTCGCGCCGCCTGGACTGCAAGGTGATCCGTCTAGCCGAGTGTGTGAGCGTGGTGCCGGTGGTTCTGGAGAGTCTCCCTGAACCTGGGGCCTCTGCCTTCCGCCTGGACACAGCACAGCGCTCCCATCTGCTGGCCGCCGATGCCCCGTCCAGCGCCGCCTGGGTGCAAACGCTGTGCCTAAACGCCTTTCCGGTGAGGGAGCCAGGATTGCCTGCGAGGGGCTGGGACGAGCCGAACTGGGGCCCTAGAGGCGATTCGGGGTGGGGGTAGTTACAGCGGCGGAGGAACTGGGCTGGCTCAGACCCTCAGAACCGCATTGAGGGAATGACAGGGTCTTAGATACTCTTTTCTCTTTACCCCAGAAAGGCAGCTGGCCTCTGTCGCCTGCCGAGAACCCACCCAAGCTTTCTGCCCTGGAGATGCTGGAGAACTCGCTGTATAGCCCCACCTGGGAAGGTAGCCACCTGAACAGTTGGGCAGGGATGGGGTGGAAAGGTGCCCTGGGAAGGGGCTGATTAGAGGGTCCAGGGACCCATTTGGAAGTAGGAAGTTTCTGAGAGCTGGCTTTCAAGTTGAGTGCTGGGATGATCTGCCCCCCACCCCCCCCACTTCCTGGTCAGGTGCCAGGCTAATTGTGTATTCCCTCCAGGATCCCAGTTCTGGGTAACTGCGCAGAGGACTGAAGCTGCTGAGCGCTGTGGCCTGCAAGGCTCCTATGTGCTGAGGGTGGAGGCTGAGAGGCTGACTCTCCTGACTGTGGGAACTCAGAATCAGATACTGGAGCCACTCCTCTCCTGGCCCTACACTCTGTTGCGTCGCTACGGCCGAGACAAGGTGGCTATGCTGTCCTGGAGGGTTGACTTTCTGGGGCCAGGGCTGTGGGCTGCGTTGCGTGGGGCAGGGCAGGGCAGGGCAGGAAGGTGGGAAGCTCTGCCTTCTGATAACCCTTTTTTGCCTAGCCCAGGAGCCCACCTCCCTCCCCAGCTAGTCTTTTCTTTGTAGACCCCCTAACTAGTTTGGCCCTGTGACTCACCATGCCTGATGGCTCTTGGTAATGTGCTTCCCTTCCTCCTCTTTTCAGGTAATGTTCTCATTTGAGGCTGGCCGGCGCTGTCCCTCTGGCCCTGGAACATTCACCTTCCAGACAGCACAGGGAAATGACATCTTCCAGGCTGTTGAGACCGCTATCCAACGGCAGAAGGCCCAGGGCAAGGCTGGTCAGGGACAGGATGTTGTTAGAGCTGATTCCCGAGAAGAACTGGCAGAGCAGAAGCCAGCTTCCCACCCTGGTGCCCAGGAGCTCCCAGGCAGCCCTCCGGTCCTGTATGCTGAACCCTTAGACTCCCTGCGAGTTCCTCCAGGTCCTTCCCAGGATTCCCTCTACTCAGACCCTTTGGACAGCACCCCTGCGCTGGCAGGGGAAAGGGTACAGTTAAAGAAAACTCTCTATTGGAACTTGTATGAGCATGTGCAGCAGCAGTTGATGAAGGCCAAGCTGAAGGACCCCAAAGAGGACCCCATCTATGATGAACCTGAGGGCCTGGCTCCTGCCGCTCTCCGGGGCCTTTACGATTTGCCTCAGGAACCCAAGGATGCATGGTGGTGCCAGGCTCGAGTGAAGGAGGAGGGCTATGAGCTCCCCTACAACCCTGCCACAGATGACTACGCTGTGCCTCCCCCTTCTCGGATCACAAAGCCCCTGCCAGCTCCCAAGCCCCAGGGCCTGGCCTTCCCTGAACCTGGTGCTGCAACTGGCAGTGGCAGCAAAAGCCACAGCTCAGACACTGCCCTGTACAGCCAGGTCCAGAAGAGCAGAGCCTCAGGGAGCTGGGACTGTGAGTTCTCTAGCGCGGAGGCTGACAGGATTGGGGTCAAGTCAGAGGGCTCCACATGAGAAGCTGGGCGAGGCTTGGGGAGCTGGTAGGACCATGGAGAGGTGGCATTGGAGATCAAAGAAACCTTTTAGAACCAGTGGGAACCAGAGGGCTGGAGAGGCCTGTGTGAGACTAGGGGACCAGACATATCAGGGGAATCAAGGGAAGAATGATTAATCCCTGTAAGTCCTGGAAGTGGGACACATGGCAGGGGTCTGGGGGGTGGGACCTGGGGACACCATCAACTTTAAGCCATCTGCCCAAAAGGAATGGAAAGCTGCTGGACCAGATCTGCAGAAAGGGTCAGTACAGTGGGAGGGGCCTGCATGGAGGCTATAGGGAGATGCTGGACTGTGCCTGGATCCTTTCCTCTGTGTTGTTCTTTGCTAGAGATTTATTTTTTAAAAAGTTTTATTCTCATTAAAATCAGTTTGGATTTAAGAGGTCTATGTGTGTGAATGGTCACAGAGGGGACACAGAGGCAGGGTGTGCTGTGGGTGTGGAGGGCACAGCACAGGACAACCAGGAATGTGCTGGGGGCTGTGCAAGGAGGGAAGGGCCCCAGGGTGGTGTGCTGAGCTGACTGCCTGTTCAAAGCTTGGGTGGTCCATCCAGCCCATCTGGGCTTGACTCTATCTCTCTGGCCTTGGGTGAGTTTTATAACATCTGCAACCCCCAGTCACCCCTGCTGTCCTTTGTAAACTGAGAACACTTAATAACAGGCTGTACCTCACAGGGTTGTTGGTATGGAAGGGGTTAAAATTTTCAAGTACTTGGTGCAATTTGGAGCACAGGGCCTATGGGAAGCTAGGCAGGTCAAGAGGGGAACAGGAAGGGAATAGGTCTTTTTCATGCCATCTGCTCCCCTGTTCTCAGCCACAGGATCCCCAACCCCACCCATACAACTTTGCTCGTAGGTACTGAGCATCAGTCACTTTTCTGTCTGGAGCCTAAACGGAACTGCATACAGTGTGGTAGGGAGAGGGGCACAGGCTTGGATTTCAGTCCTTGTTTTTCATGAGCTCTGAAAATATCCTTGTTTATTGAGGCCCAGTTTCCTGGAGGTTATATGACATCCACCTGCTTACATAGAGCTACAAGGAGAAATTCAGGGCTGGAAATGCTCCTAACAATGGTGTTGGTTTACTGGGTGTTTAATCTTCATCTGTGTTAACAGTATCAAATGACCCAAAAGAAAACTTGCTGCTTGGAGAAGCAAGAGGCTTGGTTCTTGTGCCTCTTCCTAGGCTGAGTGGGGCGGTGGCAGGACTGAGGACAGAGGAGGGGAAGGCTGTTTCTCAGTCACCTAGAGCTCACAGAGGCTCAGGTGGATGGAAGGCAAACCTGGCCTCAGAACACCATCGGGTGAGCCCTATCATGGATGTGGTTGAGCAGGGTGGCCAGGCTCTGGTGCTGGTTTCTTAAGGCCCTGAGGGGTACTCCTCCTCCTCTTCCTCCTCCTCAGAAAGCTGGAAGATGGCTTCTGAGGAGGCTTTGCTGGCTGCTGGCATCTTGGGGGCTCTGCCAGGGGCTGAAGTCATAGGTAGAGGGGCCACCTTAGCTCGAACTCGATTTGTTTCCAACTGCCCAGCCTGGAAAGAAAATGAGCAGAGTCACCTCTGAAGATTGGATTTCCTTATCTCCTATCCCATTGCCTTCTGGGTCTGCTGTCCTAACTCCTTCCCTTGTCCCATCCCTAGAGTGACAGCCTCGAGGCTCAGGCCAGTGGAGTCCCCTGGACTCCAGCTTCCCCAGTGCCCATGCCCTGGCTGAGTGTCCCTCCTCTGTTGGCTTGCCTACCAGCTAACTTATGTGGGTTCTGTTCCTCCTGGTCTGGAAACATCTCTTGTAACTTCAGCTAAGGGAAAGTAGTGTTTCTAAAGGCTCTATTGCCGTGAAACTAGAAAAAGTGAATAAGAGCAAAAGGAAGCTCAAACGTTATAAAATATGGATTTTATAAAAGTAACTCCATTCAATTACTCTTCTCTTTAGCCCTTGTCACTAGAGCCCTCTCTACAAGCTACTAACCTTGGTCAGCCTCCCTTTGCTTACCTGAAAAATGAGCATAATGCTTACCTTGCAGGGATGCTGTGAGGAGTAAATGAGAAAATTATATGTGAAAGGGCTTGTCACAGCACCTGGCATAGGACTGGTGCTCAGTAAATGCTAACTTCCCTTCCCTGGGGCATTTCTTTCCCTTCAGCCTTTCCTTCCGATGAAAGGCTATGGTGTAGTTCCAGTGCAGCTGGTTTCCTTAGTGGGACAATGGTCTGTTTTATGACTAAACACTAAATTAAGGTACCTGAATGTTATCTTATGTCAATGCCCAGGCAGAAGAGCTACCCCGCTGGAGAGGGGCTGTAATTTCCTTTGTCTAGGGCAAAGGGCCATTCTTTTTCCTCCCCAGAGGCCTGGCTCTCTTCTCCACCAGGGGAATCCAGGGAAGAGGGCTACACCCTGGGGTGAGAGTAGGGTGGGTATTGGGCACAGGACGTGGGGGCCCTTGGGTTCTGGACATAGAAGGAAGGAAGGGGAGTAAGGAGGAGATCCATACCTTTCTCAGGGCCCGACTCTCCCAGCTTAGGTGGTGACGGCCCTGAGGCTTGGCAAAGGTGCTGCTCAGGTGTGAGTACAGGTGACTCCAAACCTGTAAGGGGTTGTAGGTGGGCTCTAGCTCCAGGAGGTCCAGTATGTTCTGAGGAAAAGAAGAGGAGCCTCATGTGGGGAACTTGAGGTCACAAGATGTCAGGCACAGCCCTTTGTGTGTAAAAGGCCGGAGGAGGTGTGAAGACCCAGGGCGTCTCTGCAGGCTGTGGGATAGATGAGCGTCCCATAGGCCCCAGGTCTGAGTGTTTGTGAGGCAAGTGTCAGGCACAGGTACAAGAAGTCGGAGCAACCCTGAGTGGTCAGGGACACTGAACGCTCCAGCCCAAGAAGTGTGTCATGGGATTCCAGAGCACTGTGAGAGTTACAAGGGGTCCACTGTGCAATGCTGTGAGGGAGGGTGTGTCCATGGCCTGGGGGAGCTCACAGTCTTCAAGGCGAGTACACTGAGTTCTCGGCCTGCCTGCCAGGTGAGCATAACCAGAGGACACGCGAGCACAGCATTCCTGAGCAGTCAGGTTTTCCGGCCACAACATCCTGTGCCAGGAACCACTGGCCCTGAAGTGAGATGCTGAGCAAGCCACAGCCACTTGAGCCCACCTCTCTCTGCATCCCCATGGCCGCCAAGCTGAGAGCACAATCCCAGGCTCTGTCTTGTCTGCACAGAAGCCAGGGACCCAGCAGGGAGGTGGCTCCAGTTCTCCCCACTCAGAGTCACTCTCCTGCCCCTAGGCTGGGGAGGCAGGCAGAGGAAGCCCAGAATCTAGATCCAAGGAAGAGGAGCAGGAGCAATGGCCTTCAGAGATATTCTCTCCTGTGCATTGGAGTCTGATTTTAAAGCCCTTTCTATTCTGGGCACCTACATCTCTGCCTTTTTCTCTTTCCCTCAACACACCAGAATAGATGCACACATGCTCGCCCATAATGCTGAGAGAGGCCTGTGGGAACACACCACTACTGCTTACTTCCTCCTCCCTGGCCTCAGTTCCTACCTTTGTTTCTTCTCTGACCCTCTCACCACTCTTGGGACCACTTCTCCCTCAGCTCTCTGTCCTTCCCCTCACTGGCTCCTTCTTCTCCCACACCACTTTCCCAAATTCCTGTCTCTTCTCTCCCGTCTACCTCTCTCCTGAGATCGGGCTCCACTTGCCTCCACAACCTGAAGGCTGTCATCAGGTGGGTTCTCAGGAAGCAGGGCAAAGGGGCTGGGCAGCATGAGTTCTCTTGTGGCCACCGCCTTCACCAGCAGGGTGGGGGATCGTGAGGGCACGATCACATAGAAGGTGCTGGCAGGCTCTCTCAGGCTGCGTCCTCGGCTTGGGGGCTCCCCTTTGGCCAACAGCAGCCATTCTCTTTTCTGAAAGAAGGACATACATAAACTCTGGTTCATCTTCAGTCTTCGGAACATTTGTAATCCCAACTGAGGTTTCCCTCGAGCTCCTGGAGGGGGTTGGTGTCAGGGAGGGTTGAGCCATTCCCCTCCCCCGCCCCCCCCCACCCCCCGGCTCTGGGAGGGGCTGAATCACCAGTGTCCCTAAGTGCTGGTCAGGGAGGTACACAAAAGGGTTGATGGTACGGAGATGAGTTAAGAGATGCTGTTTAACCTGAAGTAGGTGTTTACCCCGGAGAGGGCTAATGTATTAATGATAAACGTAGAGTTTTAAGAATTATACTTCTTTAAAAAATTATTACTATTGAAACAATACTTATTTTTATTTACTTATTTTTAGAAAGAGAGAAAGAGAGGGAAACACTGATGTGTGAGAAAAAGATTGATCAGCTGCCTCCCGCATGACCCCAACCGGGGACCTAGCCCGTAACCCAGGCATGTGACCTGACTGGTCATCAAACCAGTGACTTTTCAGTCCACTGGGCAATGCCCAAACCACTTAGCCACATCAGTCAGGGCAAGAATTATAATTCTTAAAAACAGAGCCTTGGGACAAAGACTTGCATGGGGTGTTGTGAAAATTCAGGTCTTATCTGGAGGGTGGTAGAGTATGGCTGTGTTGCATGACTGGGGTGGGATGGGCTGGTAGGGGAACCTCTTGAATACCCAGGGAGGGTGTGAGAAGCTGGTGGTCAAAGTTGCCTGTGCATCGAGAGGAGGAGGGGGGGAACAGGGAGAAGAAACCTTTGGTACAATAAGGTGGGGGTGGGATTGGGGGATGGGGCTTTTGAGATCACTTCAGCCAGTCACAGGACAGAAAAAGGATCAGAATTCCAGGGGCAGTGATTCTGAGCAAAGGGTACTGCAGAACAGAGTGGTGACACTTTGCCATGTGCCATGGGGATCAGAGGTTAGTTAGCACGTGGGTAAGGAGATAAAAAGACTTATGAGCAACTTTTCGAAGTGCACCCTTTGAAACCAGGCATGGAAATGAGAAAATTTTCTGTTAGTTTTTAAAGGTACACTACAAGACTCCAGGAAATATGGAGTTAGAACTGTTATACTCTGTGAATTGTGTTCTTCTTGAGGTGATCACCAATTACAGTTGGTACAGACGCAATAGTCTCCCTACTATGTAAGATGAAAGACAGCACTCTAACTTATTTGAAAAGTTGGAAGAAATAATATAAAAAGGCAAAAAGAAAAAAGAAATTAAGGGAATAGAGGAAGGTCAGTATCTTGAGGAAGACAAGTGGAAAGTGACACAGTGAAGCAGAAAAAACCTACTGTAGCATTAGAGCTGCACCCCTAGGGGATGTGCTGGAGTGGGATGGTGGTGGGGGTTCTAGACACTTTAAATCACTGTCATCATTCTGTGCAGCACAGAACTCTGGAAGGTGTGTAAGGTTGGGTAGGTGATAGGTACCTTCAGCAGTTTATTCTTTCTCAACATTTTGCCTATGTCTGGAGATGTGCTTCTTCCTGAAGAACAGATCTTCACGATGGAAGGTCTACCTGATGCTTCTCAGGTCCATCAGATTGAACATACATAACATAGAAGTCATGGTGTATGTGTGCATGTTTGCCCCTCCCTGAGGACGTGGCCTCTTTAAACTTGAAAGGGATGTTCTCTGGGAGGGATAAGTAGGAAGTGGCAGGGCATTGCATTTCAGTTGACTCTAGTAACTTCTTTTTTTTCTTTTTTAAAAAATATTTCATTGATTATGCTATTACAGTTGTCCCATTTTCTCTCCTTTATTTCCCTCTGCCCTACACACCCCCTCCCACCTGCATTCCCCCCCTTTAGTTCATGTCCATGGCTCATACATATTAGTTCTTTGGCTTCTCCATTTCCTATACTATTCTTAACCCCCCCCTTGTGTATTTTCTGCCTATCATTTATGCTTCTTATTCTCTGTAATTTTCTCCCTCTCTCTCCCTCTCACTCCCTCACTGATAACTCTCCATGTAATCTTCATTTCTGTGATTCTGTTCCTGTTTTAGTTGTTTGCTTAGGGTTTTTTTTTTTTTTTTAGGTTCAGTTGTTAATAGCTGTGAATTTGTTGTCATTTTAGTGTTTGTATTTTGATCTTCTTTTTCTGGCTCTAGTAACTTCTGATGTGGCTTTTGAGATCAACTCAGGCTTTGGATGATGATGATGATGATGATGATGATTACTTTCTATTTTTATACTGGTTCATGCATTTGTTTGTAAATTAGTTTGTTTACTGAGAACTTATCAAGTGCCTATTGTGTTTGAGCACTAGGGGTGGGCATATAGAAATTCACTAGACATGTTCATTGTCCTCTTAGAGCTTATATTATAGTAAGGGGAAGAACTGCAAACTAATGTTTACCCACACTTTGGATGGCCAACTGATCTGGTTAGCCCATTTTTAGCACTGAAAGTCCTGTGTCCCAGAAAACCCCTCACTCCTGGGAAAACTGGGTAGTTGATCACCTTTCCAGACTCCATGGAGAATGGAGTATCTTGCCACTGTGGCAAGTCACTGAAGGCTAAATATAGTATCGTAACATTTCTTGCATTTTAGTGTTATGGAAAAAGTTCTCACTTGCTACTTCATGTGATTACTAAGAATCTTTGAATATTGTACAAAAAAGCTATGACCCCAAGAGTTTCAGTTGACTGATTTTGAGATTATAGCTAAGATTCTGTTAGAGAACTGGTATGCAGAAACGAATGAGATCTCTCCAAAGTAACCCCTGATGTGAGGACTATCAGAATAGATTGAGTTGAAAGGATTTTACAAAATGCTTTAAAACTTTTTGCAGAGAAGCTGACAGAAGGTTCTGAAAGGAAGAGAGACAAATGCATCCTTATTAGAATTTGATAAAGATATTAATTTATCTGTAATTTCTAGGAATATTCTGAGAAAGTGAGAGGCAGGGAAGTTGAACTTTAAGGTCCCTGTTTTGGAATCTGAATCTCTAACTTCTTTGGAAATTTGAAACCCAGGACCCAAGCTTGAACATTTCACCCAGGCCATGGGTTGGCCTGTTGGTACAGGCAGCTGTAGCTGTGATGGAAATGGCTAACTGCTACAGCAGGTCTCTGAGCATGAGAAAAAGCACTGGCATGGGGATATCTTCTGGGATGTCCCAGACCAGCCTTTAGGGTTCTCAAATCAAGCAATATTTAAAGACTATAGATGACTGCTGAATACTTAGAATATGCTTTTGCTAGTTCTAAAGAAAGGAGCATGAGTTAGATGCTGAATTTAACAGAGGGCAGGTGAAAAGGTGTCTATGTTGTAGTTAGGGACTTTGCTGCAGAGAAGAGGCCAGGAAGCTTAGATTTTTAGAAGGTGGAGACTGATTCTGTTTTGAGCAGGTGTGGCAGGGACAGAGTGGAATGGTGTGTCATACTAAAGTCATCCTCCCCAACCCTTGCCCTAACTTTGCATTACTAAGGTTAGGAAAGAAGGTGTGGCAGCTACTGTTGGTTGACTGGTCACTGCTTCCCCACTCCTTTTCCTTTTCCTTTCTCTCTACCCATTTTCCAGCCTTCCAGTGGTTGGTCTAGGGGTGATTTGTAACCTAGATTTAAATAACGAGACATAAGCAGAAGTTGCTGGATGGGGCTTCTGAAAAAGCTTTGTAATCTTCTGGCAAGTTTTTTTGCCTCTGCACCCTACCCCTTCTTTCTCCTTAGGACAGGACTGAGTCTTAAGTTGCAACAGCCATCTCATGACCAGGAGGCAATAGGCATAAGAATGAAGTATACCTGCTATGGTTGCTGTAGTGGAAAAATGGACAGAGCTTGAGTCTTTGATGGTATCACTGATCAACTGCATCAGCTTGTAATTGTCTGTCCTTATACTTCTTGTTAATGAGAAAAATCAATTCTTAATTACTCAAATTAGAGTTACTTTGGTTTTCTGTTAGTTGCAGCCAAATGGATCCATTACAGATACAAAAGGGAAAGAGGATGTGGTTACTCACTTCCAGTATCTGGGAAAACAGGAGTAGAAGTGACAGTTTTAATGGCATTGGTGTAGGCCTTGCCAAAAGGCCCAGTGGAAATTCACTATATAGCAGGTAAAAGCTCTAATCTCACCAAACCAGAGTTCCCTTGGTATTCCCTCAGTATGATGGTCTGGGACCAAATACAGTGATTAAAGAAGCGCTGACCTCCCTGACTGGTGTGGCTCAGTGGGTTGGGCATCACCCACAAACTGAAGAAAGGTCACCTTTTTGATTCTGGGTCAGGGCATATGCCTAGATTTCAGGCCAGGTCCCTGGTTGGGTTTCTCTCACACATCGATGTTTCTCTCCCTCTCTTTCTCCCTCCCTTCCCTTCTCTTGAAAAATAAATAAATAAAATCATTTTTTTTAAAGGAGCACTGACCAGTTCCCAAGAAGGCATGTTTCTGAGGCAGCCACTGAGAGGAGAGACGAGCAAGAACACTCAGTCTGCTTTGCTTGCAGGCAGAGACACATTTCATTGTCCTGACACATCCAGGAAGAGGAGTCACGGCTGGTTATGAGAAAGCCAGGCATGCCTGGGGTTTTTTGGTATGTGGAAGGGCATCAGGAGGAAATTAGGTTAATTCGACATTATTTGCTTATTTTCTCACACCAGAAGGCAGAACTAGGAGGGGGGAGAAAAGAAAGCTACAATATTCACTACTCTGCTACTCTCACACTCACTTTCAAAAAAGAGACAGTAGAATGTGGTTAAAGATATCGCAAACCCCTAAACATCAGATTATACATTCTTCTCAAGTAAACATAGAACAGCCTCCAGGACAGACCATGTGGAAGGCCATAAGTCAGGGTACAATAGACTTCAAGAGATTAAAATCATCCATAGTATCTTCTCTGACCAAGTGGAATGCAATTAGAAATCAATAACAAAAAGAAATTTGGGAAATTTATGAGTATGTGAAAATTAAACAGCATACTCCTATATAATTAATGATTCAAAGAAGAAATCACTACAGAAA